TTGACCTGACATAAATAATAATCGTTACTATTTGAAGAAAATATGGTGCGATTCGAGGAAGTGACCCATTACGATATCGTATCACGATAAAAAAGATTGTAAAATCTTTTAATATGAGATTAAAAAAAAGTAAATAAGTAAATAATCTTTGTAATTTGTTTCCTTATCATACGATAAGGCATTTAAATAGAAATATGTATCACTGGGTTAACTGGGCGGGTACTCTTCCACGAGTATTTTTCCATTGGTCCTCTTCCAGGAGGGTAAAGTCACCCCTCTCGAAGCTCATCTTCAAGCTTTCACCTGCCAAGAATTAGATCGATCCCATCCAAGCAAAGCAGCGCTGTCACAAAATGACTAGGTTTCACACAAAACAATATCGATACTCACACATACGTGCAATAATAGTAAAATGATTGCCTTTAATAACTCTCTAAATGAAAGTTAGTTTTCACCGCGTAAACAAGGTCTGCGATAGAAAATGGCAGAAATCGCTTGAAAGAAGGTAATTGCGTTGAGCTGCAGGTTTCGAATCAAACTTGTCGTTAAATGTTACCCCCGGTGCCCGTTTTACGAGATTTTCGTATAATTTTACGATGCTGTTTTTCGCATTCGGCTGTTTGTTTTAGCACAGGTATATACCCTGCGAGATCGTTGGCCCTGTGACATTGTCGCAGGTAATACATGTGGGTTGTCCGTCTGCCGCCCTCTAATTTGCCACTTTCGTTGTTTTGATGACAACGGATTTGTTGTTCTCAGAAGCGATGAGCAAACGATATCTTTATGCAGGCTGTATGAAGCGAATTCGAGTTGGCCAATCAGATCGGCGGTAATGTAATGTCGCCTAGCAACGAGCGGACGATTTTCTGATTGGGTGTTTCATTCTCAGCCTGTCGTCTAATTGTGGAACACCTGTATATTGCGTTGTGAATTTTTAGTGTTATTTCGGAGAATTATCACGCGAATTTGAATTTGGTGTATTTAGACGTATGCTACAAATTCACCAACCTAGACCTACTTCCATGCGTAAATATCGCAGCCCCAGGGAAGCATGATCGTTTTGGATGTTCGAACAGGGACTCTCTGTCTTGTTTGTATTGTGCCGAATGTGAAAACAACGGCGGAAAGGAAGCCAAGTTATTTGTCAATTATTCTCTTGAGATTTGATAACCTAAAATGACATTTCCTGCTTAAAACAATTTCCTCTATTAAGTCAAGTTGAAGTTCTAGTTTAAACATCCTACAAACTCATAATCGATACGGTTTGATAAAGGCGTTGTTGGCTAACCTCCAGAGGTCGCAGATCACAATAACTAGACTAATGACTTTCCCTATCGTCTAGTAGACCCAATTAGTTTCACATTTTCTTATCGCAATCAGCTGTAGACGGTCTAATTGTTTTTTCGGAGTAGACAGAACACCTCAGGGTTGGACGGTGTGGCCGTTTGATTCTAGAACAATTGTCGAGTGCCGGTTCTTACAGTAGGCGATTACGAACATACTGCAGCTTTAATACAGATGTGAAAAATATAAAGCAGACGATGACTAAAAGCGGAGCCTTGTGTGACATCACGACGAGTGGATCTACATCCTTTTCAACGTCGTTCTGCAAAAGATTCGGGTATTTCTTGGAAAAATGCCCCATCTTGGCAACGTCGTCCAGCAGCGATGCAGTTGCATTCGGCTGTTGCAGTTGCGTCTATTTTCGCGATACAAGGACAGTGCCGGTTGAAGGTTAGCACGTCGTTTCCTGGTCAACGTTCTCTGCTGCTGGGTCTGACGGTTCCCCGTCCCGCCCACCCAGACGGAACCACTCGTATACACACACCACCACTACAAGAATTACGCCATCGCGATGGAGCTTTTACGCTTTTTATGACTGTTTACGAATTTCGCAGCAAAGGGGCACCAAGTGCTTGGTCGTGATGTCGCTGCCTTCGCTAAATGGTTTTCCACGACGATTTCAAATTAGATGGGCTGCTGAGGGAATTAATATGCTTTATTGCTGCACTGAAAGTGCGAGGTTGGGGAACAACCATAATCTCGTTTGATTACTAGCCGACTAATGAAATTGTCAAAGCTCCACGCTCAAAAGTTGGTCTCGTGAGTAACGGAAAAAGCCGTGAGTGTTGGCAAACATTTTGATCGATTAAGAACTACATAATAAAACGAGATGGGTTAAAATTAACAATCACGGGTTGCCAAGAAAATGGAGAGTTTTTATGGGTACACTAAAAGTTATTTTGGAAATAAAACAAGCCGGACCTACCCTATTCACCATTAATCGTGGTTTCATCCAAGATTTTTATTTTTAACGCCGGGAATTGATTGATTCCGACAAGTGTGAACTTATTAACTCAATTTTGAAATGTGTAACGGAAAAGATTGATTTGTTTACTTGACCCAACAGTGGAGTGGTGTGAGGGGGATGACCCCGTGCTGGTGAAGAAGTGACCAACGCAAAATCATTCTATTTTCTTTGCATAACAAGTACAGAATGTCACCGACCTGATGTTTTCATCGTTTAGTAGTGTTTTTTGTTTGTTTGTTTACTAGTATATCCAGGGAATAATGACTTGTTTCCACAACGTAATAGATTTCCGAAATTTAATAATATTTTGTTTTAATTAAATTTTAAAACGGGTTGAGGTAACTGGAAAACAAGTCAAGGACTTGCAAAATAAATAAACCGTGGTCATAAACATTTGTATATAATTCCTGCAAACTTCATACGGTTGAAAATTGCAAATAATCGTTTTAAAATTCCACTTTTCAATATTATGAATTTGTGATGATGCAGCAATTAAATAAATTGAGTTTTGTACATGTAAATATACAATAGTATTCAAATTTCGCGGGAAATTGACATCGTCATGTTGCACGCGACTAAACTTTTGCTACAGTATGTATATGAATATGACTAGTTATTCGCCGTTAATTGTAGTAATACGTTCGACGTTAATGCCGTTGTAATAATCAAATACGTATTAGCGAGGTGTAGTGAATGTTTATTTCAAAAGTATTCGATGAAATCGCTTAAAGTATAATTATCTACTTTTGTACTTCCGTCAACAACAAAAACAGCTACTGTCGTCACACAACCAAATTATTTCGAGGAACTCAGCCAAGGTGCTGTAATTGTTTGTAGCATCCTGAAACTTTATTTGTAGCGATAAAAAGCATGTTTATATTTTTATCAAGTCGACGAAAATTTCTATCACGTACTTGCCAAAATCGACTTCAAAATCCTGATAAAAATGGTGCCACTGCAATTCCTGTATCGACATAGTACAGCTAATCAGATAAAAATCGAGAAACAACATTGTATTGTGCAACCTAAATCTTGTAAAAAATGATAAAAAAAATATTTATCTACTATTAGGAATTATGTTGTAAAGCAAACATTACGTAAGCATTTAGCCATTCAACACCCACTTTTCGAAATTATTGGTGGTCTAAAGTAGTAAACAAACCGCAGATTGGCAGGTCCTAACACAGACTACCTGTTTGTGATAATTTTTTCTTTTGAAAACATAATTAGTTTCCGGGGTAGGAAACTCTACCTCATCGTTGCCCCTTTTCTGTCGTTTACCTGTGGCCCTATTCACAACCCCATATTTAAAAACGCCCTCGCTGACCTACATTTTAAAGAGAAAGAATGACAGCCGGCTCCAATCTTTTATCGGCCTTAAAAGCCCCTCAATGGATGGCTATTCCCACACTCATCATTATGCCAGATAGGATTTTGTTTTTCTGGGTTTTTTTCGTGAATAGCTGATTGATGCGGCATTTGGCATTTGTTTGTAACCGGAACGCTTCTATTAATAAAAATAGGTTAAAACGGTTTTTAAACAGGTGACAAGTTTACAAGGTCTGTTTTGTTACCCTAATTTCGCGCGGTGTGCCGATATATTTTTTTGTATAACGGAAGTCACACCCTGTTTGACACATTTTTTGTTTTATCAAGTTGGCTCTGATTTGTGCAAAGTGCAAAAAGTTAAGGTATCGCTATAGGACAAAGGTCATTGTGGAATGACTTTCAAGTTTATACTAAAACACTTCCTTGATTTGACGCATGTACGTATATTTCCTAAAATAGATCGTCGGCTGAGAATTATATATAGTATTCTATATTCATTTTTGGGCCAGTATTCTGTGTTACACTAGTGCGGTATATTTTTTCAAATCTATCACTATGAAGTGAATGTTTTAACTGTCATATTTCAGTGAATAAATGTACTGTGCCTCAAGTAATTTCACGCCAATCTGTTTAGTGTTCCTAGAAAAACTGACAACGGTAATTCTAGACAGACAAACGGTTGCTAGTAGATTTTAGGCAACCAGTTAATCTTCTCCACACACAACCAATCACAGTAGATACTTCATGTCTAGTGTACCAACGAGATTGATGATTTTACAATTTTTGCTTCACCAGCATCTTTGTCAATGAACAATGTAACTTATTTGCAAATTTATGACACCATCCCAAACCGACTCTTCGATGTATTTGGCTGGCACGATTCTCGATCACCAACGAAGGGTTTAAACAGTCAACGCCATAAAACCACTATTTTCGTTGATATATTGTAAGAAAAGTTTGTTACATTGTAACATTTAAATTTTGACTAAAGAAACATCTTCGACTGTACAACTTATTAATCTGTTGTAATAGAAATTTTTAAGTGCTCATTAACTGACCATTTTAATCTGTACAGACGTTACAAATTTTCTTGAAAAGTTGAAACTGGTAGACAAAAGCGTACATGGGGATGTTCAATAGTTGCCATGTTTTGTAAATTATTTGATACCTAGACAAGAACTACAATAACTAAAACAATAGAGACCCTATAAGCCTGTTTTCCTGTTTATTGGCAAATTTGAAAACAAACAGGCTCCCAGTCGCTACAAGCTCGTAAACAAACTTTATTTTCGTTTTTTTTTTTTTTCTTTATTATTATTATCTAAGTAGGTTTATTTCAAAGCTTATTTTTTTGTTTCAGTACCGGACTCGTACAACAGCTACCTTTTCCAGCAGCACCACCACGTTCAGCAGAACCCGCACATGCACCACCACAACAGCACAGCCTCCCCTTTCACGACGCCCTCCCCTCCCTCTCCGCCCATGAGGCACGCCATTCCCACGTCGGTGATCCAGGCGGCGACCTCGAGCGTGTACGACGACCCCTACATGCTTGGTTTTTCACCGCGGAAGCTGAAAAAGGTGAAGAAGCAGAAAATCGGCGAGACCGGTTCTGTGAAGAGGAAAAGCCGGGAAGGCTCGACGACGTACCTTTGGGAATTTTTGCTCAAGCTCCTGCAAGACAGGGAGTACTGCCCTAGATATATAAAGTGGACGAATAGGGAGAAGGGGGTGTTCAAGCTGGTGGACTCTAAGGCGGTGTCGAGGCTGTGGGGAATGCACAAGAATAAGCCCGACATGAACTACGAGACTATGGGGAGGGCCCTGAGGTACTACTACCAGAGGGGCATTCTGGCCAAAGTGGACGGGCAGCGGCTGGTCTACCAGTTCGTGGAGGTGCCGAAGGATATAATCGAAATCGATTGCACGGGCGCGTGATTGCCTTAAGTTAGACTTCTTCCAGTGATTTTTCACTGTCTCGAGAGTACAACATACTTAAAACACGAAATGAATTTATTTATTAGAAATTATAGTAACTCAGAATTTTTATTGGTGTATATAAATGACTCAAAACAGTTTTTAAAGACAATATTGTACGAGTTGTTTTGGATTTATACAACGAATTTTGCACTTTGCACATGTACCAACTTTCGTTACGAGATCTCAATGTAAAGTGTAACACGAATCACTGTCATATCTTCGTAATTGTTTCGAAAATGGACTTACCTGATACGTCAATCAAGAATAAGTGTCTTGTCACCTTTACTGGACTGCTAGGAAGGTTGTGATGTGAATTATGTTATCCAGGTTGTGGTTATTTGTAATAATTAAACCAGAAAGAGATTGTAATTTTTTATACTTTACACTATTTCATACCCGTTTGCTTAATTTAGGTCGGATTCCATCATTCATTTTTCCCGCAGAGACACATCAACTGGTAATTCAAAGACAGACCACAAGGTGCTTCTATTAAATTGTACAGTAACGTTTATTTGTTGTTTTGTTGAAACGATACAAAGTTTTAAAACTGATGTAATGTAAATAAAAGTTTATTGAAAAGAAGACGAACCGTATGAGTGTTGTTGCTTGTATGAAATAGTGATAGTAATTGTTATAGTAGATTTTTATAAAGTAAGAAACAAATAAGAGATATTTAGAAAATCTTATATTGACTTGTAATACTTAAGAACGGTACGAAGATTTAATATGAAATGTGATAGAGAGGACAAAGTATTTTGGAAAAGTTTTATAAAATTTTGTTACCTAGTTTAGCATAAGAAGGTTAGAGGTGCTCTTAAAAGGCGATGAGACTGTGTGGTGCCTGAAGATTGACAAAAATTTTAGTAGACGTACCAACGCGTTGAATTGTCAATATTTTAGCTCTCTTGAATTTAGCATTGCAGAGTGTTCGGCAACAGAATATATATGTTTGCGTTACTACAACAAAAAGCTTTGATCTCAGATGTACACGCAGGAAAATACAACTTGAAAAGCAGAATAAAAATTGTAAATAATACCGTTTTTTGTACTTATATTGGATTCATTTCTAATTTGTACTCCTTTACGTTTTAATTTCTAAGTGTACATTCTGTATAGTATTTATTTAACTAATTTCAAAGATTCACATTTATAAGTTGTAAATTTTCGTTGTAACGTTCTGTGATTGTATATTTAGTTCCCTGTAAAATTTTCGAAATTTTTATGTAGTAAATGTTGTTAACGTTGTACCTAAGGTCAAATGTGTCTTGAAATCTTACCCAACTCAGTGCGCAAATCAGGACGAAATTACAATTATATTATAAAACTAACCCAGGTCTCAATCTCAGTGAAATAATTATACATATGTGTAGAATTATTAACTAGATGTACGCACAACAAACAAAATAGAAATATTCGATTTGTACGTCCAAAACATGTGATATCTGTCGAAATTGCATGCTTGATCACCGTAGCATAGATATATTTGTAACATGTTTGTTATACATGTTCAATGGTCTTTAAACATTTTGTTTGTTGCTGTTGGTTCTCTTTTTTTCTTGCAGCGATCGTCTGCAGGCATCTTATGTATACACATATTGTTTATACTCAATAAAAAATTTGCAGTAAACTAACATTTGTTGTAAAACAATTATTAATGTTAAAAAGCCGTAAAAAATTGCAACTAAATAAAAAAATGAAAAGATTGGTGATATTGTCAAATATAGAATAATGTTGACGCAAGTTGTATATATTATATTGTATAATTTTTATTATATTACAAATTACCTACCTAAGTATCTACTGAATTTTATTGATTTTAAATACAATATTGTATAGTTTTATTTAGAATAAGACAAGGTACTTTTATTATATAGTTTATTGTAATATTTTGTCTTTACAAAAATACAACATGAATAAAATTTATTTGTGTTTACCTGCTTTTTTTTACCTTGAAATTTCAAAGCTCGGTTCTTGTTTAATGCGTTTTGTTTGAAGATTGACTCAAGGGTAGGGACACTATTACTTACTGTTTTAATCATTACAATGCAGATGTTCGTGATGCCACCTTTACTGAAAGTCATCTTAATGTGTGGATGATAAAAGTAAGATAAGATTATCATTTCGTCTATCTTCATCTGGAAAGTGTAAAGGTGCACACATTTATTCATTTTTCACTTTACAAATAAGAGTTTGCTGCCGAACTTACCCACTTTCTTAAAAATGCTTATAACATGTTAGCACATCTAGTGATTTAGTTCTACGCGACAAACCGCAAAATGAAAAGTTAAAGGTAAACATACTAAATGACAAAAAAAACGAACACCCAGAAAAAGTGCAATTTTTTGACGAAAAGTTGTATGTAGCCTCATTCGTGTACACGAACGTTGTCATCACCATATGGAATAATTCGGGTTTTTTGGGTTTTATTTTTGAATACTGTCGGAATTACAACTCGCAACACCTGCACCCATTCGAGAGAGGACTAATTATTGGACTCCTAGACGTTGACCTGACCTATTGTTATATTAGTACTGTAGTCCAAAGTTGTAGGTTTTGCCGGTTTGGTTTAAATATCCAAGAATAACACGAGCTCCTAGTTCCAACAGACCTCGCAGTACTATGGAAGGTCAAGAGCAGTACTTTTAATTTTTGTTTACTACGCGATCCATGGGTCCAATTCGTAATATTATGGTGCAAAGCAGAAGGTAGCCGGATGAGTACTCGATCGGTATATCAGGTCCTTTGGACTGCAATCGTATGTCCCTGTTTAGTCTTTCCATGGCAACGCCTAGACTGGTGTAATGAATGGCTGCACTGGCATCATCAGTGGGAATCATGTTATTTTTTCAGATGAATCCTGGTTTTATTTGGAACAACATAACAGTCTAGCAAGGGTCAGAAAGCTCTATGGTGAAAGGCACACTTCTGCTTTTTTCAGCATCATGTCGCTTGAGCTGTGAACATAATGGTTGGGGGCTAAGTTTTGAGAGTAGTTTTCCTTTAATTTTTATTGTGAGTTATGCCAAGGAAGTGCTAGACCCAATACCCGTTCCATACACACAGGAGACAGACGTGTTATTCTAGCAAGACAACGCTCGCCCGGACGTAGCCCGGGACTCTTAAGCATGTTTAATAGAAGAAGAGATAGCTGTACTTTCTTGGCCCCTAATTCTTCTCTAATAGAACATATATGGGATATAATGGGTCAGAGAATCACAGATTTGCCCAGTTTCCCGCGGTGAGCAATGGGAATGGTGAATTTGACTTTCTTGTAAAAGATGCATTTCTGAGTAAGTCCTCATTTCGCGTCTTTTTTTGGTTACAGGGTTATAGTATAGGTTACTTATGACTATCAATTATACCTCACCACAGCGATGCAGGAGTTAAGAAAAATATTTAGTATGGAGTGAGATTTGAACTTACCACGTCCCCTTACGTATTGGGCAAGTGATTTTGTCATTGAGCGATCGGGTCGAATTTTTTTTTACTTCACTTTCACTTATACCAGGCTATTTTTTTTAACCCTGAATATATCCCACGCTTAGTCCCCCATCACAAAACAGTCATCCCGATCCCAAATGTTTAATAAAAAGAAAGAAAAACATAGTCAATATATTGGAAGTATGCAACCAAAGTTACGTCAGTGTACATGATTTAGGAAAAAAACACTAAATGTCAACTTGTTTGAACTAGTATCTGAAATAATAATTATTAAACGGACAAGTTGGTTAATGACGGCGATTAACAATCGAAGCTATTTTTAATTGCAGGAGCGAGCGAAGCGAAGCAAGTGAAATTAAAAAACGTCTAGATTGTTAATAAAACTTTAACCAAAGTGTTAGTCACAAAAGTTTTCCGCTGATCTCATTTCAAAAAAGAAAAGAAAAAAATGGTCTAAAGTTGTTTCGACCGAATTTCCCTCGTTCCTGAAATACAATGATAATTTTTTTTGAGCCATCCTGTATACGGAAATCCAAAAAATATGAATGGAATTACAAGTACAGACTTGTCATATTTTGTACATTTTAGGTAGAGTTTATTTGGCAAACTTTTGAGCTGACGTCATCAATTTTTTGAAGGGGATAAGCAAATATATTTTGACCAAAAATTTATTATGCTCTTTATAACCTTAAAACATCTGCAAGATTTCAAAGCATTTGGTTTAGCAGATTCAAAATAAAATGGCAAAATGTTGTTTTATAGTTTTGATTTTTTTCCTAAAATCTGGACGTTTCGGCTAAAAACTCTATTCGGAGTTTAGGATTATGTTATTTTTATACAATTTAAAACCCATTTGCTATGTACAATTTTGAAGTGACGCCATCGCATTAGTGGTGGGGAGGATTAGACAAATTTTAGTTAGCGTTTTACCATCCTAATATAAATACAAAATTTGACAACAATCGGCCCAGTACTTTCGAAGATTATTTGTACAATAAAAATTCGGGACGGCAGACAGACAGACGGACAGACAGAGGGAAACGGGAGACCTATTTGTTCGTCCTATAGAGGTCATGAAAGGTCGAGAAAATGTAAAAGTAGAGAGTCGGTTACAATACTTTCCTTTGCTCGGGAAGCACAAATACAAAAATATGTACAAATGTCATTAAATTTATAATATGTATAACTATCATTACTTCTGTCTAACCAAATAAAATAAAGTGATGGGTGACAGTAACAAAATTATCTATAACGTATAGGTAAAATAACTTCGAGGGAAGTGTCGTTTCGTTGCATTTTGTGTGAATTGATCGTTAATGAAGCACAGTAACGTTCAGTTTTTGAAGTGAAGTTAGATCTTAACGTTAACGTTAATAAACGATCCTCGGAAAATAAGTTTCAGACTTACTTTATTATGTAGCTTATATTAATGCCTTTTTGTGATTCATTTAAACGTTTTTACTTCCTCTTGTCTTGTTAAAGCTCGTTTACTGTCGTCTGAACTAACTCGGTAAATTAGCCTTTACACGCACCCTGCCTGTAAAGCGTTACCGTGGCAGCTTTACAGGCACCTTGCCTGTAAAACGTTATCATGACAGCACCGGAATCAAACACACATTTGCTGCGTCGGCCTTTTTCTCAATCTCACTAATACTGTGCTAATACTAACGTTAAAATCACCTTCAAACTCTTCATCTTCATCGAATTCCACAATTAACAGAGCTCAGAAACAAAATTAAACCATTTAAATTATTAATCGAATTTACAAATTGACAGTCGCGTTATTTTCAAACAATTCAATTTTCCATAGTTACCGGAGCAAACTATGGAAAATGACTATAATTTCTATGACTGTAATTTCAAGTAAAATTTCTAGAGATCCCAAAGTTGTTCATTTTCAGGATTTTCAGCAAGAGGAAGTAAAACGTTGTACGCGGCTCGCTTGCAACTAGCCTTTACTGGGGTTCACCGGATTACAGGACGTCGCTCGCCCTGCAAACATTCCGGCTCGCCCGTAAAGGCTAATTTACTAAGCTTGCCACGTAAATAACTATTACGAAGTTACAGATAATGATCTCCAATTGCACCAGATATTTTATTTTGAATTTAGACTAGTTGATAGCAAAACTAAGGTGTTAAATCGGAGGATCCAGTTTTACTAGATCTCTAAGGTCTTTAACAGTAAGTTATGATTTGCTCTACTCAAAACGACCTTAGTTTGGGGCGGCAGCGTATAATTTTAGCGAATAATAAAGCTAAGTAAAATCGTTGCGGTTACCAGTTCGAAATGGTGTGGCGCAAGGGTCAATTCTGGAGCCAGTATTGTTTATTTTATATACAACAGATTTATTTTTAAAAATACAAGATGTTAACGTGTATCCTTACGCAGATCACACGCAAATGCGCAAATCATTTGAAAACACAAACATAATATGTTCTGTGAATACGCTAAATGCGAATTTAGATAAAAAATATGAGTGCTGTAAAAAACAATGTTTAAGATTAAATTTTGATAAAAATCAATTAGCATTGTTTGGTACAAAGAATTCGTAATTGTATATGCTATTTAGTACATGATTTCAACGACCACTCTGTGAGTCTGTGATATTATTCTTAAATTTGAAGTTAAAATTTCAGGTGTTGAGATTATTATCTCATCTTTGTAGTTTAGTCATGTGTCGTATGCATGTGTATAAGAAGTGTTATTGTAATCTAAGAATGTCATATCTATTAAAAAGTATCCTAGCAACAAATTTAACCGAACTGGAATTATATGTGGAACATTGAACTTATCTATGGTAAATAGAATTGAAAAAATAGGTACAACGAACTTGTTTGAGATTTTTCTACTAGTCGAACAGCAGGGATCATATCTTTTTGTCTGTGAACAAATAAATATGGTTTACTGTTGAAAATAGTTTTAAGTAGTTAATGTCAATACAAATTAAGTGCAGACAAATATCTAAAATAGTTATGCGACACACAAATATTTTTTAAAGAAGAGAGATACAGTACATTACGTTGGTATTTCTGATAAAAATATACCACAGCGAAATGTATAAATCGAGTTTTAATTATGATTACTAAAACGTATAATTTTGTTTCTGAAAGTTTCGAAAAGTTAGCGATTCCAGTTTTTCAAGACAAAATTAAAAAGTTATTGGTTAATACCACAGGTTAGGTCTAAATTATAAAGTTAGGATGAAAAAAATTCCTTACCATGTGTGCTCAACTATAGCATATTTTCTTCCTTAATTTAATCGTCAACTTTTCTAAGAACTACACTGATCTTCGTAACCAGGCTTATTTACAAACGGCAAAAACAGTGAAACTATTTAAAGGAGGCCCAATTTTTTAACTGTACGCAAATCTGCAACTAGTATTATTCATAAATCATTTTATGAGGTTTCTCTACAAAGTAGAACAGTCCAAGCCCGGACTGGATCCATCCTTACCAACGAAAACGAACGTAATTTTATATGTAAAATGAATAAAAATATTCATCTATGCGGGATTAAATTTTACATAAGTACGTGGTACGAATAAAATACTCAAAATTTTTATTTCTAATACTCCTATGCCTAACAAAACTGGTGACACGGTATTTTGCTTATTCTTAAATTGCCACGAACCCGACTTGTGGACAACTACCTGCTAAATGTTTTTCGCCAAATTCGGGTGAACTGATGTGAATCATAAATGTTCCTTACTACTCTTTGCCTCATTATTGGAAATACATTTTTATGGGGTATATTTACATGTCCTAAACTATACGTCGTAGAAAAGTTTTTAACAAAATTAGTTTTATTATACCTCTAAAGAATTTCTCTCATAGATCTGTGATGCCAGTGTTGGTAGATGTACGAGTAATTCAGCGTCTGGTGGGGTTTTTGCTTGGTAAGTAGCTGTTTCTTCCTCTGGTTAGTTTGATTAAAATATGCCCATGGATCTGCGTCGAAAATATAACCCACTGAGTTATCACCAAAAACCCATCTCACTAAAATTAATTTTAATTGTAGATAAATTTGTTAATCTAATAGTTGAAACAGAGATAATATATGTTTGCAATTTAATTGGCTTTAATAAACGGCAAGAATATATAATTAAGGGTACAAAGACTCATAATTGTTATTGTTGTTATTATTATTGTTACTATTCAAAACGTTTTTAAGTCGTAAATCTAATTATATTGAAACACGTATTTTGTCAAAAACGGCAAATAGTGAATCTTTTAGTTTTCCTAAAATTTATCAATAGCATAGTCAGTCCAGAGATCTTAGAGTTTCTATTTAACAAAATGGTCTGTAAAATTCTTTTAAAATATGAATCAAATAATGGTGAGGGCTGTATTTAAAAAATATTAACGACACCATTACTCAGCAACATTTATTTGAAAAGTTTATTGTTTTAAATTTTATTGGAGATTAGAGACTTTAATTGTAGGTGTTATTTTAATCAGCAATGGTATCGTATAATGCCAAATAATGGAGAAATTTTAAATTATAAACGTAAACAAAAACAAGTTAATTTTTGATAGAAATCATCATTATTAAGACTATCGTTAGTAGTTCTATGAAGAAACAGGAGTACTTTGTTTATTGGTATACACGTATCGATCTCTAATCAGTCATGAAGACTTTATCTTTGGAGGTTCTAATGTTCAATGATGGCTATCTCAAAAGTTGGACAGTGAAATAAATCGCGTTTGTCACCACACGACTGCTTCAGTGGTGTTCAGCTTACGATCCATAATGGGTGTTCATCGAAATTTTATCCTTTTGTTAACAGTAACCTTAACTTTCGTAACGTGCAACGTCTCTAACAGTAAAATTGAAGATGAATGTAATCTTTCAGCTGAGTTAAAGGCCGAGATTGCCTCGTATTCTTCAACTGTGGAAAAAATTATTAACGCTGCTGTGGATGGAAGCTTTAAAGGAGTAACATATCAGGAATTGAGCCTTTTTGTTGATACATTTGGTAACCGGATAGCGGGTTCACAAAATTTAGAAAATGCAATCGATTATATGATAGATAAATATACAGCTGACGGCTTTGATAATGTTCATGGAGAAGAAGTTCAAGTTCCGCACTGGGTGAGGTATGTACAAAATTGGTTGGAGGTTATTTAGACAAATTTCCTTCGCCTCTGAAATATAGTCTAACAAATGAAAAATTATAAAATTCGATTTTGCGAAATTTTATTTGTGATAACCACTACCTATAAGAAAAAACAACGATTCGAACCACTGCCCTAACAAACGTTCGTGCGTCAGCCCCGTTTATAAGGTTAATTAGAAATATTTTGGCAAGTTTTGCTATCAAATAAATTACATTTTTGTTTAGCCGAATTTGCCATTTTTTATCCTAAGCATTGGTTTGATTTCAGAGGATCCGAGTCTGCAATACTCGTTGAGCCTCGCAACGCTACTCTGTCTATACTTGGTTTGGGCACTAGTGTTGGCACACCTCCTGAAGGAATTTTAGCGGAAGTGCTGGTAGTTAAATCCTTTGATGATCTACAAAGTAAAGCTGAACAGGTATGTAGGTTGTTTTGTTATTTTTGTTTGTAAATAAATATTAGCACATGTATACATAGGCGTTAGTTTTTTGTTTTAATGTATTGTGGGTTTACAGGCGAAAGGCAAAATCGTAGTCTATAATGAAGACTTTGACAGCTATTTTTCTGCTGTCGTTTATAGAAGTAACGGTGCCACAGAAGCTGCTAAAGTAGGAGCTGTAGCAAGTCTTATACGATCAATGACAGATTTTTCCCTAAATACGCCTCATACGGGCCTGCAAAGTTATGAAGAAAATGTTACAAAAATACCTGGAGCTGCTATCACTATAGAAGACGCCCATTTGCTACAAAGATTACAAGACGAGGGTAAAACAATCAAGATGTTATTAAAAATGGAAGCTCAAAATCTTCCAGACACGACTTCGAGGAATCTTGTTGCCGAAATTGAAGGTACAGAATATCCAGAGAAGGTGGTGATAGTGTCTGGTCATATTGATAGTTGGGATGTCGGTGAAGGTGCGATGGATGATGGTGGAGGCGTGTTTATTTCCTGGGGAGCGTTGGCACTTTTGAAAAGTTTGGGTCTGAAAGCTAAAAGAACCGTAAGGTAAGAATCGTGACGAAATAATTCAATTTAAAAATGTTTAGATAAAATAGGTCAATATTTTGGACAGCCGAAGAATTTGGTTATGTAGGAGCATATCAATACGCTATAGATCATGCCAACGAAACCGATAATTTAATTTTTATGATGGAATCCGACTTTGGAACTTTCAACCCTATAGGGCTAGAATACAGTGCTGGTACTACTGGAGGATGTATACTACAAGAAGTCATGAAGTAAGCAATTTTGTTAAATATTTTGTAGAAAAGGGTATCTGGGACTACTATTTTAGACTACTTGCTTCCATTAATGCAACAGGAACACGACAATCACCTGCAGTAGGTTCTGACATCGAAATATGGACTTCAGATGGCGTGCCAGGTGCTTCTCTTGATACTGAAAGTGAGAAATATTTCTGGTATCACCACTCAAATGCAGATACTCTAGAAGCAGAAAGTACTGATTATCTAGATAAAAATACCGCTTTGTGGGCATCTGTTGCTTATGTTTTGGCAGATTTAAGTATTGATTTTCCACGAGAGACGACGGATGGATAAGAGAGGATCAGTTTAAGATTATTGTTAAATGTACAATTGGTGACAAAATCTAACAAGTTGTAAATAAACAATTAATATGTATTTGATTGTACAGTTTTAATAATCAGGATTGAGGTATCGTCTGACATACATATAAAAATAAACTATCTATCAATAACAGAGATCGAACGAGTGCGAGTAACATTCAAGTCGTCCATGAGCTTGCGGCCTAATAGCGTTTAGTGACGGTTAGTTTTCAGCGTCGTCTTCGTTGATTCACTATTAAAGTCTCTCCAATCCCTTAAATGTGACATGTGAGGGCGCATACGTCGGGAGGGAAAGGAATCTGTAATGTCGGCTAAATGTCTGTCGTGGTCTGACTTTTTGACACAATTTGACATCATGTATTTCAGTTTTTACTTGAAAAAGAGGCAAAATTTCGGTACCGGTGCCAAAGTCACAACGCCATGGGCGTGGATAGTCTGCAAAGGGATATGCAGTAGGAAAGTTTTTCTTTGAGGTGTTTACATTGTTATCGGAATGTGTCTCAGGAATTATGAAGCTGCATTCTGGATCACGTTTAGTACTTGCTGGGGAGCTTGAAGAAGTAGGAACAGGTAGTGGTGACTTGGAACCATGGAGGAACAAAGTAGGAACAGAGCCGGGTTTAAGTCTTTTATTTGCATAATAACAACTTCTCTCAAAGTGTTTACAACAAATGTATAAATTATTTGCAATATTATCACCTGAAATAGTTTTAATGGCTATACATTCCCTTAGGTAAAAGATTCATGTGGGGGTACCTACTTGTAGCATTAAAAACCTTTTTGCACCGCAACCTTTTGTTCACAGTATTTGAAGGGAATCTGTGAATTATTTTGTGGTGTCTAGGATCCTTGATTACCCCACAAGCAGGCACAGAGCAATATTTTTTGGACATTTTGATAATATCAATTTAAGCACAAACTGTTTTGGCGCGTAACAAAACGGATTAATTACAGATTCCTGTAACTCCCGAAGGGAGTGACATCTTTTGATATTTTCCTTTTTGACAAGTCGGACGATTGTAACTAATTGGAGAGACTTTAATAGTGAATCAACGAAGACGACGGTTTTCAGTTAAAGTATCTAAGACTGATTTAACTCTATGTACGTTAATAATTATTGTTCCCCCAATTTTCCTCCATAACACTGAGTTTTTAATATGATGATCCTTGCGTTTTATATCCAATATGTAGATGAACACCCCTGAATTTGCATGAATTTGAAGGGAAACTAACCCTTTTTTTATACAGCACAGTTAGCCACCTGAAGGCTTATCATTACGACGGGAGTTTCAAGGGCACCATTGTACTGGTGGTTTGCCTCTTTGCTCGGAATTGTGTAATCTCTAATTATTAAATAGGTAAAAGAGTAATTATTTTGTTGGGTGTAAATATGCTACTATTTTCTTTAACAGTGTTTTATGTAGCCGATTGCAATTTACGTGTAGAATTAAAAAATGAAATAGCTTTTACAATTACAATTACCTCAATCATTAATCCCGCAACTCACACAACTTTTAGCTATAATGAATTAGCAAAATTTATAGATAAATTTAATGGGCGCAACTTAGGATCCAAAAGTTTGGACGACTCTATAGATTATACATATCTTAAATCTATCGCTGGCCTATGATTTACAAAACGTACATGGAGAAGAACTGGAAATTCCTGTGTGGATGAGGTATAGTAAATTAAATATTTTTCTTTGTTAATTTTCTTTTTCTTATAGAGAATTGAGGTCTGCTAGATTATTAGACCCGAAACCTAAGGACATTGGACTGCTTGGATTAATCTTAAGTGTTGCTACTTTAGTCGAACGCATCTTAGCAGGTGAAAGCATATGAAAGTGTATATGATGAGTGAGAAAAAAAAAACTGTTGAAATATCGTTTCCTTTTACGTGGAACATTTTACTTATGTAAAATTTTTAAGGACACCGGCAAGATTGGGGTTACTGATCAATTGAGGCAGCTAAAGTTAGATATTTGTTGTTCCTTTGATAAAATCAGTGAGCCTTTTTTCTCCTGCTACTTAATCTTCATATGGGTATTCTTTCATATGATAACAATGTTACTCACATAATTACTTGGTGCCTCTATTGTTTTAATGATAGTAATATGTTGCAACTAATATAAGAAAGAGGCGAAACAACATATAAAAATTCTTTTAAAAGTGGAGGTTAAAGTGTTGTTTATTCATACATTTTTCAACAGATAAACATTAGACACCGCATAGAATATACGTTATAAAATGGTTTTGGCACCCAAAATAAGAATTAATATTACTATCTTAGAAAAATATAATGTATAGATCTATTATGCCCCATTTGTTTCTTGTTTGTTGCATTAACGGTTTTACTAGTTAAATTGATCCAGTCGTCAAACACCCCTTTGGGAAAAAAATCGTCGGACAATAATAGTTCATTCTAATTGGTTGATTTTTTAATTTAAAGCGTGACTTCAGAGTTGGATGGTGTTTAGCTGGAAAATATTTTTGGTTAAAAAATATCTTGTAGAGCCATATCAAGTTTCCCCCGTTCCGTCTTTAATCCTTTGATGTGTTTGTTGTATAGGTTCTGCAGAGCAACAAGTTCTTTTTTCAGAGTAACTATTTTTTTTTCAGTCTGTGAAAGTGTAGGTTATAATTTTTTTTAAACTTTTCTTTACGTGGCTTCAGAATCTGCAAGTTTATTTGATCTTATATACAGCGTTGAATCTAAGTACTTAATTTCTCTTTTTGTCTGATCTGCAATACTGTGATTTCAGGACCGAAAATTTTTGTTTTCTAATATCTTCCATACAATTTTGGATCTTTTTAGATGCCCTCCAAAATTGTATGGAAAAAGAAGAAATTGTAAAAAAAAGAAGAAAATTTATAAAAATAACTAAAATATTATCTAATTCTGAAAGGAAATTCTGAAGATTTTTTTGGTACTATCTAAACAGTTCGTGGGAATAACCGTTTTCTTCTGCTCATCATTTTCGTATATAATAAATTTTTTGCTGTTAATCCCTTTTCATAGAGGGAAAAGTAACGCAATAGTAAAGCACTTCTAAACTTATATTTTTCTGCAACAAAAAAGTTAAATATGTTCCAATTACGTATGTATTTATACATTTATGGCATCTGCGGACTGTAATATCTGTACACTTATTACTTGGAGTGCAAAGGTGGTAAACGGTCTCATAATGTACACATAAATGAAAAATCAAAAAGAGGGTTACGTTGTTGTAGCAGTAAGATGGCATTATCTTGTTTTGTTTCAACTAATCGTAGGTTTTCTGTATTTACTTTTTATATATGTTTTCAATTTAGCTGGTTTTAATAAATGGCATTTAGGGTACCAAGACCATTATTATTGTTATTGTTATTATTATTATTATTATTCAAAAATATTTTTAAATCGTAGAGCTAATTATATTGAAAAATTTACTATATCAAAATAGGCAACCTTATTATCCATATAATCTTATAGCCCTAAAATTCTATATGGCTAATTGATAGAGCCCATTTAACTACCTGGCCTCTAGGTTGTGAAATTCTTTGGAAATACATATTGTTACGTTGCACGGGTGATTAAAATTGGGGTGCTTTAAACTCAACAATTTATTCCTTACTAACTAGAATTTACACGACTAACTATCACGGCGATTATAAAATAATTCCGGTGCAACTTCTTTTGACTCAACCAGCTGAATAATTCGTTCCCCAAAGGTGGACTCTATTTAAACAGCACGCGGTCCTTCTTGAAATTCTACTTCACCGCTTCTAGACTTCTCCGGAACCACCATTCGCGACTTCCGTTTCCAGGCGTTTCTTTAGTGCTCCGTCGCTCGGGCGCATTGAGGATGAATCATCATCGGCGTAAGACTAGAGAGTTCTTGCCGAGGCGGCGTATGGGTTTATTTCGTAACATTATACTAATGAAATAAATAATAATAATAACATTTAATCCAATCCAACAGACAATGGTCTAAAAGGATAATTACAACCTGAATGTCAAAATAAGAACAACCTCAATTTACAGTAAATATGACATTTCTGTACTTCACTCTAAATAGTTCTGCGCTAATTAAAAATATCTAGAATAGATGCAACTACATTATACAACGGCACATATTATTGAGTGGGGCATAATAACATTTAGTTGTTCTATATATGTATATTTAAAGCAAATGTTTCATGATGGCGACAGTTTATTCGAGGTACTAAGAAAGTGATATCATTTAAAAGTTTCGTACATACTATAAGACTATGAGTTAATTTAAATAAAAAATAAATGTTAGCGCAAGTTCTTCTAGTCTTTAAACTGCATAGATTAAATTCTCTTACGAGATTATTATTAGGGTAGGCCCTAACGGGATACACACCATATTTAACAAAATACAAACGTTTACAAATCTTTCTCTGTATACGTTCTAATGATGAGATATGTACATCATAATAAGGATCCCACACAATGCTACAATATCCTAGTTTTATCCTTATATAGGCGTAATACATATAACTTGTAGTATTTCTGTATATAAATCCCATCATTTTAGTAGCCTGATCACATAAATATTGAACGTGCGGTACAAATGTTAATTGCGGATCAATAATAACGCCAAGGTCTTTGATCTGATCGACTTTAGGAATTACTGAGCCATTCAGCCTATAATTATAATCTATACTCAATGATTTTCTGGAGGAGGTAATAAGTTTACATTTAGATACATTAATTTTTTGAAAATTACTTTTGCACCACTTTTCAATAGTTTTGAATTCATAGGCAACATAAGTTGATAATCTTCAGCAGAATATATACAGTTAGTGACCTTGAGGTCATCCGCGTACATAAACACACGACATCGAAAATGTAACACTGCATCGCTGATGTATAATACAAAGAGAATTGGTCTCAAATTTGAACCTTGCTTTACTCGGCCACAAGTGTTGTACGTCTATGAATGGTAGCTTGGTACATTGTTAACAAGTAATGACTTAAAAAGATCACACAAACCAAAAGCATTCAATTTACTAAGAAGTATGGAAATAATGATCTACAACATCAAAGGTTGTTGCTTACGGTTATCTAATGCAGTGACAAATACTGAACTTATTCACAGAGGTTAGTTGACGTTGTTTTGCCTTTCATAAAGCCGTATTGACTATCACTTATCTTACAAGCTATGTGACTAGACAGATTTATAGCTAAGATAGACTCAAAAATTTTCGCAAAATTTGAAATGATCGCTATTGGTCTATGTTTTTCCACATTTTGACGCTCTGATGCTGTAAATATATGGACTATTATTTAAAAAATATTAATGATGTCATGGAAAAATAAAATTTAATAAATTTTTTTTCCTAAAGTTTTTTATTTCACTATTTTAATTTTATAAACAATGGTGCAGTTTTTAAAGGAACAAGCAGAGAGCTAATTGTAGCAAATTTATTAATGTATTGTTAATAATACAATATTTGACATAAACAAAAACAAGTTAACTTTAATAAACAAATACGCGCAGAATATATTATACCTACTATACGTATTCAAGTATCCTCATGTTATTCTCATTATGTTGTATTTCAAATTTCATGGTCCGGAAGAAAGTATTAGTTCCAAAGACTATCGCGAGTAGGTACTTCTACAAAGAAAGAGGAGTACTTTGTTTTTTGGTATACACGTTTTATCAGTCTCTAATCACAATCTGGAAGTTCTAATGTGCAATAATGGTGACGTCACAGCTTAGATATTGCAACAAATTGCTTTTATCAGCACACAACTGCATCAGTGGTGTTCAGCTTCCGCTACACAATGGGTAATCGTCTAAGTTTTATCATTCTGCTGACAGTAGCTTTAACTTTAGTGATGTGCGACGTTTCTAATGATAAAATTGAGGACGATGGTCATTTAATCAAGAAGAAAACTCCGAGTGAATGTAATCTTCCAAATGAATTAAAGACCGAAATTGCCTCGTATTCTTCAACCGTGGAAAAAATTATTAACGCTGCTGTGAATGGAAGTTTCAAAGGAGTAACGTATCAGGAATTAACTCTTTTTGTTGATACATTTGGTAATCGGATAGCAGGTTCCCAAAATTTAGAAAATGCAATCGATTATATGATAAATAAATCTATAGCTGATGGCCTTGATAATGTTCATGGTGAAGACGTGCAAGTTCCGCACTGGGTAAGGTATGTGAAAAAGGTGCTATAATGCTGATTGAGGCGGTACAATAAAACGTGGAAAGTGGGGAGAAATAATCACGGCACCTCATTGTCTAGTCCTAGTGGTTAGGATGTCCCCCCGGCAAGTAGGAGACTTGGCTTGGATTCTGAATGAGGTAGTGACATTTTTCCTTGCTTTGCCCAGTCGATGACCACCGACAGGTAACATACGGTGTTTTGCGGTCCTCAACGCTTGCTTTCGAGCAACGACCGTAAGAGTGGTCGGAGCGACACCAGTATCTATCGCCTTCACACTCCAGCTCGACCGGGCTATCGTGGCGGGTGCGTATGGAGGGTGTATTTCTACTGTGGAGGCAGAGAATAAAACGTGGTTAGATAGAATGCTTGCTTGGCCAGTAGGAGACATACCTCGAACCGGTTATAACCGGTGACAAAACGATGGTGCAAAAAATAATAATACAAATATGTATGTTAAATACGAGTATGGTGCATGTACATACGTGTAGGCTTGTATACTATAACAACTGCCTATAGACAATTCTGTTGTTACTTTTAAGGTATTTAGCAGTAGTTTCAGGTGTATCAAAAATATTTTTACAAGTTTTGTTATTAAATCAAATTTTATCTTTGGTTATCCCAAATACCATACTTACCAGTTTTGTATGTTAAACAGTGTTCTAATTTTAGAGGATTCGAGTCTGCAACTCTTGTTGAACCTCATAACTCTAGCCTCTCTATACTTGGTTTGGGTGGCAGTATCGGCACATCTCCTGAGGGAATTTTGGCTGAAGTACTGGTAGTCAAAACATTCGATGATTTACAAAGTAAAGCCGAACAGGTACGCAGGCTGAATTGTTATTTTTTTGTAGATGAATATGTTTAAACGCATCAATTCTTTTTTAAAGCAAAAATTGTGTTTCTACAGGCGAAAGACAAAATCGTCGTCTATAATGAAGACTTTGTCTCTTATGGATCTGCTGTCATTTACAGAAGCAATGGTGCTATAGAAGCTTCTAAAGTAGGAGCTGTAGCAAGTCTTATAAGATCAATTTCCCCCTTTTCACTAAATACGCCTCATACGGGCATGCAAAGTTATGCAGAAAATGTTACAAAAATACCTGGAGCTGCTATCACAATAGAAGACGCTCATTTTCTGCAAAGATTGCAAGACGAGGGTAAAACAATCAAGATTTTATTAAAAATGGAAGCTCAAACTCTGCCTGACACCACTTCGAGGAATGTTGTTGCCGAAATTGAAGGTACAGAACACCCTGAAAAAGTAGTCATAGTTTCTGGTCATATTGATAGCTGGGATGTTGGTAATGGTGCCATGGATGATGGTGGAGGCCTTTTTATTTCCTGGGGAGCGTTAGCACTTTTGAAAAGTTTGGGTCTGACAGCTAAAAGAACCGTAAGGTAAGTGTCGTGGAAAAATAATGCAATTTATTGTTTAATTAAAAACAGGGCCATATTTTGGACAGCTGAAGAGCTTGGTTTTGTTGGAGCATATCAGTACGCTACAGATCATGCCAATGAAACCGATAATTTTATTTTCATGATGGAATCTGACAATGGAACTTTTAATCCTATAGGATTACAATACAATGCTGGTACTACTGGAGGGTGCATAATACAAGAAGTCATGAAGTAAGCTATTTTGTTTAATACATGTCTATAAACAGAGTATTTATCTGGGAGAGTTTTAGACTATTAGCTCCAATTAATGCAACAGGAACACAGCAATCACCTTCAGTAGGTTCTGACATCGAAATATGGACTTCAGAAGGAGTGCCAGGTGGTTCTCTTGATACTGAAAATGATAAGTATTACTGGTATCACCATTCCAACGCAGATACTCTAGAAGCAGAAAGTACTGATTATCTAGATAAAAATACCGCTTTGTGGGCATCTGTTGCTTACGTTTTGGCAGATTTAAGTATTGATTTTCCACGCGAGACGACATAAGGATAAGAGAGGATTAGTTTAAGATTACCTATTTATTGTTCAATGTACGTACACATTAGAGTGATTCAAAAAAAAAAAAAATTTTTTTTTTTCGTGCAAAGAGGTTCAAAAGTTTCTTTTCAACGTAAAAAAATACCAGTTAAAATTTGAGCTCTTAATATTAATATTAAGACCGTCCGCATCGCGTTTTTCTATTTCCCATAAGAATAACATGGGAAAATTTTTGTTTGCACCTTCTGATTTTTATTGCTAGCCCGTCGTGTGTCGTGAAAAAAATTCAATCACATATTTTTATAGAGAATTGAACGCTCTACAAAAAGTGTCTCCTATGATTGTGCGAGAAACCTGATAGTTGAAGAGTTATTTTAGGCTAAAGTTAAATTTATCGCAAATTTTGACGTTTTTGATGCATTACAATAAATTTGATGGTCTTATTGGAATAAATCACCACAAAAATTTATACACATTTTAAATTTAGTTTTTTAAACAGTAATTGTTTATAATTTTATGCTATAATAAGGCCAGTAAAACTCTTTCCGAACATTTTCAGCATCAGTGGGTTAAAAAATCATAGTCAGGTTTCTCGCAAAATCATAGGAGACACTTTTTGTAGAGCGTTCAATTCTCTATAAAAATATGTGATTGAATTTTTTTCACGACACACGACGGGCTAGCAATAAAAATCAGAAGGTGCAAACAAAAATTTTCCCATGTTATTCTTATGGGAAATAGAAAAACGCGATGCGGACGGTCTTAATATTAATATTAAGAGCTCAACTTTTAACTGGTATTTTTTTACATTGAAAAGAAACTTTTGAACCTCTTTGACACGAAAAAAAAAATTATTATTTTTTTTTGAATCACCCTAGTACACATGTATGCATTATTTCAGTGAAAATCCATGAAATTGTAATTAAACACTTAATAGTTGACTATTTGAACGGTTTTGACAATAATTAGGTAAGGCGATGTACCCAATTGTAGAACTGGCTGTCTTTAAGTTTACCTATTACTTATTTTAATTACATATATACTTATAAAATTTATAGACTATTCATTTACCTACTACTTGTAGTAAAAAAACGTAAACGATCTCACAATGGACAATGTTACGTAGTAGTTGCGTTAAAATAACATTATCTTATTTTATTTTAACAAATTTAAGTTTGGTATATTTATTTTTATACCGGGCGATTTTTTAATTTTTGATCTAATTATTATCGAAGAATTTGTTGACAAAACAAATTCGGCTGAAAATTAAATCGTAACGTGAACTTGTGAAAATGGCAACAAAATACAATTTAGCTGTATATGTGTTTTGTGATTTACGTTATACACGGTGATTTCGAAATATGTGCAACAAAAAAAAATGGGGAATAGCTCACAATAAGGTTATGGCTCTGCGTAAATTTCACGTTCCTAAGTGGCAGCAATATCTGAAAAAAATTATTTGAAATTAAAGACAGCTGGTAGTGTTTCGTGACGTATATATGTAAATACTACAATGAATGGCACACAGCGAGTACCCTTAAGAACCACAAAAAACGTACACTGATAAGGAACGTGCAAAAAGACAATACAGGCAGTCATGTAGCAGTTTATTAGTATCGCTTGGTGTGCTTGGTTGTGTTTGACAATGGTGAATTTTACCAATTCTGAGCGTGTTTTAAGTCAGTGGTACAGCATCTCCGAGATTATGGTCCCTTCGAGCTTCAAACTCACGATCGTGGCCACAGCAGGACCGAAGGAATACAGTAAGCAGAAGAACAAATTTTGGAACCCGACGAAAAAGAGCCCGACTTGCAACTGAAGTTGGAGTTTCACAGTTTGTAGTGCATCGTACATTAAAAGAACAAGACCACATCCATACCAAGTTCAAAAAGTGCAAGGTTTCGAGCCCGCTGATTGTCCATCTTGTGTAATTTACTGCAAATGGTTGTTATGGCAGTGTCGTGAATGCCCTAACTTTTTAAAGTGTATTTTGTTTACGGATGAACCAGGATTCACTCGCAATGCTGTTTTCTACAGCCACAGCACTCACATTGGGTCCGATGAAACAATATTTTCAACATTTCTTATAAAAAGGTAGCAGCATTCTAAGTTGCTCTTATTTGTGTTCTAATAAACAATGTGGAATCGTTGTGACAACGACCAAACATCCGTCAGAATAAACTGTCGATCATCATGAAGCATTGCCAAAAATCGGTCCTTCTCAGAACCACCATTTTTTTTCTACAACGAATAATCTTTCGCACTGACCTTTAACGATGGATGAATGCATGAATGAACGAATGATAAGCAGTAAAAAGTTGGTTTTACTTTTAATTGAAACTGAAAGTTGTTCTAAGAGAAAACTTACGTAATTTGGTGACGTAATGGGCAGCTAGAACTACATCAGAAATTTTAAAAATCACCCAGTGTATGTTTATAATTTAACTGTCTTTAATAAAAAGCATTTAGGCAAGACTTTTAACATTACGGGTATGTACGAAAAAAAAAATTATTGTTATTGATGATATGATTATTATTAGTATAGTTACGAAATAAACCCATACGTCGCCCCGGTACGACGCCTATGGGTTCTAATACGGGGCGGACGCCAACTGGGCACCAACTAATTCCAGGTAAATTTTGCGGGTAGTTACGATAGGCCAACTCGGCACCGAGCCCCAAATAAAGATCGGTGAACTCGGCACTACAGCAGCAGGTATGGTAACAAGGGTTAATCCGCCCACTTCCCGAGATATCTTCCCTCTAGTCAAATCGTTATGTGCAAATAAATAACACAAATCTGCAAATTTAACTTTTGAAAATTTGTTTTTGTTCTGATGGCTGTATTGGATAGTTTTTTTAGCGTTGATTATTATGTGTATGATATATGTTTGTCGCTTTCATGTAAGGTTTATTTGTTAAACAAGATTAAAACTGAAATTTTTAAATAGTATAAGAATATTATAGAAATACTGTTAATAGATTTTTTTCATAATCTGCATACAAAAATTTATTGGATGAGATGGTTTTTCTGTTAACAGGACCGATTTTATTTTTTACTTTGTTTACTTAATTTTTTGGTTTTTGAAAATTTGTAGGTGATAATGTGATACCATTGTTTAGTTTCGTTTCTGTAAAGTTCTTTGAGATAAAAAAAAACACTGCTATATGTATATGTAGGTAAAATCATTTACCTATATATAATTTTAAGTAATAAAAGATATTTTGGAACAATTGTTTTAATTTAATGAATTGTACAAATATTTCCTGTTAAAAAACATATTTTTATGTTATTTAAACAATATCTCTTTTTTTTTAGACGTGATAGAATTTTTTTAATATTTTTCCTGTAATTAACGTACTAAACTCTATCAAATAAGTCATTTCTCTACACGCCAAGGCAAGGTAAGGTTTCTGTTTTAATTTTATTGAACTTATTCTTTTTTTTTGTGGAGGGGGGGGGGAGGGATTTAAACGTACTGGAATTTTTTGCAATTTTTTTCCGGTATCAATGTCCATAAGTCTAGTAATAGCCTGTCAAAGTTAAGACACGTTTTTTGTTGCAGGCCTGTGTAATAATTGAAAACTAGATGAAATACTTTTTGTTAAATGCAAAATACTTAGATACAATGATTTATTTTATATAATTATTTATTATTAATAATTACAAATTTTGTATCTATGCGACACGAGTTTGACGAATTCGTAGTCTGTTAAGATGCCGTTTTTAAGTTGATGCAATTTTTCTTCTAAAAACAATTCGGCTTTTCGAACCCTACATGTTTTTATCACTGCTGGGATGTGTATAGCAGTGGCGGCTCGTGAAGTTTTCTTCAGAGGAGGCTCAAATTTGAAAAGCACTACTTTTTATATCTTTTATTATCTGAATAATTTTTTTCGTCATGTCCACGAAAAGAACACTCTTGCGTTGACAGATAAATTATATTCCATCGATTTGTCTTTTCAAAATTGCCCAATTTTCACCAACTTTCTCGTAATAGTTCTCCCTTTTATGAGCCGAATCTAAATGATTGGCAATGTTTTGTTTACCAAGCATTTCTAATTTAATCGAAGAAAATATGTGGTCCTATGATTTTTCATGCCTTTCTATAGCTCGTGACAAATTTTGTAAATTATTATAGCCTGTTTTACCCCAAACGGAAGATTTATCACTTATAAATAATACCTACACAATTCTAACAGTATAATTTGTTTCTTTTAAAACCGAAGCCGTTAACTATTTAGTTTTATTATAATTATTTTCACGAAATGCTCTGTTTTGTTTCTAATTGTAACTGTCAATACCATTAATTGGAGTGATGGTGTTGGTCTCCCCTTGTGTACCCTTACCTACGCAAAGCCTAAACACCACCATCACTGAACAGGGAGCTCGCGAAACCACCTCAAAGTTTTTCCTACTTACACCCGATTGCGCCAACTAATAAGAAAGAGATAAAGTTATCTGTACGACTTGATCTGAAAAGAGATGAACTAGCCGGAGGCTAGCGGCTTGGAGCGGCAGTCCGATCAACGTTTTAGCCAATGCAATAGAGACTGACGATGCGTCAAGGTTACGGTCTCATTTTTCAGATGCATCGTCGTTCGGAGGCTACCGGCTAGCAAGCCTCTGCCGCTGAAGTCAAACGCGGAGTGGTGTGAATTATGATTGTGAGGGCGCAAATATAAATTTTTTCGACATTTTAACCTGATATATGATGAAAGTAAATGAATTCCAACAAAATATTCTGAAAAATAACAAATGTCTACAAAAATATAAATTCTTTCATCGAGAAAAATTAGAGGAAGCTCAGCTCCAAAAAACAGAGGAGGCTCAGCCTCCCCTGCCTCCTCTGAGGAGCCGCTACTGGTGTATAGATTGAATTTTAATATATATACTGGTCTACATATATACATAAGCTGCTACTACCGGTTCATTCATGAACTACCTGAAGCGGGTGGTTGGTGTCGAGTTGGCCTATCGTCAAAGGGTAGTTTTTAAAATTACCTGAAATTGCTGGTGCCGAATTGCCATGTTTATTTTATGACGGATTAGGCTTAGTGCCGAGTTCACCTGTACCCCTAATACGTACGGCGATGATGGCTCATTGTCGGTGACGGCGGCCGGAGAAGAGCCTGGAAGCGTAAGTCGCAATGGGTGCTCCAGACAAGTCTAGAAGCGGTGACCGAGGCGTTTCGAGAAGGATCGCAAGACTCTTTAAATGGAAACCACCGTCGGGAGCAGGCAGAGTTATGTCCAGACAATGGGAGAAGTAAGGTCTATCAAATCCCTTCCAGTCAGATTTATTTTGTACATAATCGCTGTGTAAATTCCAGTTCCTAAGAAATAAATTGTTGAGTTTTACCCACGCCGATTTAAATCACCCCTTCAACGTAATAGTATTCAAAAATATTTTTAAGCCGTAAACTTATCTGTGTTGAAACACTTATATTGTCAAAAAGGCAAATATTATCCACAGACTCTTTTAATTTTCGTAAAATTTTATCGATGATAATTAACCGAGAGCATTACAGGTACATTTTAAGTAGCTGTGTGAAACTTTTTAAAAATACATAGTATTGAAGTGAAGGTATGGGCTGTTATTTAAATAGTTATTTGTGTATCAAGGCCATAAAGAAGAACTTTTTTGGCCGATTTACAGTTTGAGGCCGAGGGGTAGACGGAGCCTACAAATCAGATGAGGCCGAGGCGTGACCGGTGCCTACAATACAGATGACGCCGAAAAAGTTCTCTTTGGCCGAGGTGCATACAACGTTTTTAGGCGACCATACAAAAAATAATTGGTTATGTAAGTAATTTTGGGGTTAGAAAATATTTTTCGTCGTTGGAGGAAATTTGATAAAAACCGAAGTGCTACTTTTCCTCTATTAATGACAAAAGTGGTACCGTTATGTTTCATAATCATAACGGTATTTAGTAAAGGTGGAGTTCAAATTCCTAACAGCCTTTTGGCTTTTTCACTTAAAAAAAATTGGTCATTCGAAGAGGGTGAGAGTTTCCGGAACGGGCTAAAGGCGAGTGGAGGAACTCATAAGAGTGGAATGACCAATTTCTCACGAGTTTAACACTATATTTTTTCTGTTCATATAATCAAGGAAATAAAGACAAAAAAATCAAGATTTATTTTGATTAACATTAATGATGACGTGTAAACAAAACATAATCAGGGTAACGCATTGACGAGATCAATTTTTATTAGGGGTGATAGTGGTAACTGTGGAGAAAAGAAAATGTTGCGTTCTGGTTGGATAAAAGCTGTAGAGAAAAGTGCTCATTCTTCAATACATTGAAAAATGCTCAATTTTCTCAATCCAAAAGGCAGAAAAAGTAATTTTCACATTTCAGTACAAAAAAGTACCACTTCATGGACCTGATCGGAGACGTAAAACGACTAGATTTGTAATGGTCGCCCAAAAAATATTAATGATCCCATGACAAAACGGCATTTATTAGAAAACTTCTGTGTCTAAATTTTTGTATTGAATAATTTAAAGCAAAGTTTTCGGTATTTTAATTTTATTGGCAACTGGACACTTTTATTACAAAAGTAACTTTAATTAGCAATAGCGATGCACGAAGGCAATCAATGGTGAAACTTATAAAAAACAAGCATACCTTTAATTACAGAATAAGTCTTAAAAAATATTAATTAAATTAAATATCTAAAGACAAACAAAAACTAAGTATCTTCATATTATTCTTATTATAATTTCTTGTGGTTATGAAATCAAGTTTCATGGTCATGGAAGAAAGTACATACTAGTTAAATGGAGCATTGTGAGTACTTTTACGAAGACACAGAATTACTTTCTTTATCGGTATACACGTCGTATCAGTGTTTAAACAATCATGAAGACTTTATCTCTGGACGTTCTAATGTTCAATAATGATGTCAGAGGTTAGACATTGAAATAAATTACTTTTATCAGCACACGACGGCTTCAGTGGTGTTCAGCTTCCGATACAAAATGGGTGTTCGTCGAAATTTCATCGTTTTGTGGACAGTAGCGTTAACTTTAGTGGTGTGCGACGTTTCTAACAATAAAATTGAAGACGATGACAAATTAATAACAAAGAAGAGGACTCTCAGTGAATGTAATCTTCCAACTAAGTTAAAGACCGAAATTGCTTCGTATGCTTCTACTGTGGAAAAAATTATTAACGCTGCTGTGAATGGAAGTTTCAAAGGAGTAACGTATCAAGAATTAAGTCTTTTTGTTGATACATTTGGTAATCGGATAGCAGGCTCCCAAAATTTAGAAAATGCAATTGATTACATGATAAATAAATCTATAGTTAACCGCCTTGATAATGTTCATGGTGAAGAAGTGCAAGTTCCGCACTGGGTAAGGTATGTACCGTATGTAAAAAAGGTGCTATAACGATGATAATCTTTTACTGCTTTGTTACACACGATACGGGATGCAAATAATTAATTCTCTTATGTATAATAGAGCATCGGTTATGTATATGAAGGTTAGTCAACCGATGCGTCAGTCATTCCAACGTGAACCTCGAACGCGGAAAACCCGCGATTTTGCGGTAAACCATGCTTAACAACCAGTAATCACTGGTCACAAAACGCTGGTGCAAAAAGTAGACTTTGGGACTGCATGGGCATCTATGTACGTTCTTTACTTGTATGTGTCCGTACATAATGTCGGGTTTTATACATTAACTACTTACATTAAAAAAATGGTACCGCTTCAATTCCTCGCGCACAATTCATCGCGCGACAATTGATCGCAAACAACTGATCGCAGCGTCAATTGGTCGCAGCGACAACTTGTCGCAACGACAACTGGTCGCAGTCAGAATTCATCGCAACACAATTCGTCGCAAGTACAACTGGTCGCATGCGACAATTGATCGCAGGCGAAAAATGATGGCGTTTATAGAGAAAATAAGTAATTGTTATGAATGAGGAAAATAAAATAAAGTGCTATATTCTCAAAAATTTCATTATTTCTAAAAAAGTGTCAAAATAAATACATAGGAGTTCCATAAAAACAGTAACTATTAGGCTAATTTCCGACTAAACCAAAGTGCAAAAAAGTGAAAATATTGTAAAATATTTTTTTTTTATGCTGACACGTATCTCGTCAGTATGCTACTGTAATGTTCATTTGGATTTATTCGTCTTATTGATTAGACACTCAAGTAAGTGATTCAAGCTTTTTTTCTCACAAGTTTAGTTTGTCAATTAAACGAGTGAAAAAATAGCTTTCAAAACGTGTTGCACGTCATTTTTTTAAATAAAAAATGGTTTTAAAATTATTACAACTGTCGAATTAAGAATTTATAGATTTATCATAATCAATAAAATCGTGAAAAAACTCTCGTTACAGTTTTAAGTGAAAAAGTATTATTTTCATTACGTTTGATAGTTTAAAAAATTAAACATTTTTTTTTTTTTAAATTTGGTGCAAAGAAATTTGAATTTATATATTAACAATTAATCTTGGAGTTTACTGCATTCTTTGCAGACAATTTTTTGGTCACTACAAATTAGTTCTGGATTATCTTTAATCCATGACAAAACCAAAGATGTTTTTTCATTCAGAACTTTTGTGAACGCTCACACTGTTAATGAGGCGCTTGTAGATACGAAAGAATGAATAATTTATCTCATTCCCTTTGCTAAATACCTACATACCAATCTCAACTTTTACGCCATTTGTGTAAACAAGATCGTAAAAAGATTAGTTTTGACCATGGAGCAAAGAATATACTCATACTGGAGGAAGTGCCAGACTTAAAATGATGGTTTCCAGCCAAACCGGTAAAGTGTCATAAACAGTACCCGTCATTATCCAGATAAGACTGCCGAGGACAGTGACGTAGTTTTTTTTTTTTTTGAAACGGCTCATGGAATAAAAATTGTTGAATAAAACAACGCACATAACAGATTTATATTCTTCTCTATTAATTAATATATTATTTAAAATATTTAAATCAATCAATACATCACGAGTAACAAGTAATACAAACAGTATCTATCGTAAAAGGAATTTTTAGAAATAATTTTCTCGTGATTAATCGGTTGCAAAAGGTCAAGAGGGACTCGAAGCGAGCCCTGACAAACTTATTAGCGGCGCCAGCGGAGATCTCCAACTGGCCGCGGTACCACCATGGACACTCGCAACCTTCTTTTTCGAGAATTGTCAAAATGACATTGCCAAACTCAAAGCAATCATGAATTAAGCATTTCATTTTGAATTCAGTTAGTATCAAGTGGTACACGGTATTCGTATTTTGGGTTGCGTAAAAATAATTTTCAGAAGTAATTTTCTCGTGACTAACCTGTATATGTATTTTTTACACCCTCATATGGTACAACTGAATTTCTCTTCAGTACAATACTAGTCACATAATAATAATTAAAAAGTAAGTTTTTAGTTGCATAAGTACCTACATTTCTTAGATTTCCCGGTAACACATAATTATTCTTGACACTCTAACAAAAGTTTTTGCAATATATATTTACAATACATGTAAACCTTTCTCAAACCCTGTAAACGATCCGTTGCAATTTACAAGGGATTAAAATAAGTATTATATCCGTCCAGTGGAATTTACATTCGCTGCATATGGATACTCTAGATGTACAATTAGTTCATAAATTTTATTGTTTGGTGATATGTATAAAGACAAGAATAGACAATAGAGGCAATTCTGTATCAAAATGTGTTAAAATTTAAAGGTTGTTAAAAATATGATTTTTTAAATAATTATATAATAAATCTAGTTAAGAACAATAACCACTTTTTCTATGTTGAGTACTTATTATAATGAAGCTAGTTGCTATAATATAATAGGTAAAATAAGCAACGACATAAATCGTAACAATCTCTTAAAAAAAATAACCAAAATGACAATTCATTAACAAAAAATCTTATGTATAATAACAAGGTGTTTACGCTCGCATTTTTTAATTTTTAAAGTGCAATTACAAACTTCGTCATTTATCTATATTCAAATTGTTTTTAATTCGATATTTACACCTTACCTGATTGCTAAATTTATTGCAACTTAAAATTCAGAATACAAAATATTTAGTTTTAATAAAAGAAAATACTTCCCGATGAATTTTACCTTGCGATCAATTGACGCTGCGATAAATTTACGTGCGATCTATTGTCGCTGCGATCAATTTACGTGCGATCAATTGTCGCTGCGATCAATCGTCGCCGCGATCAATTGTCGCGTGCGACCAATTGTGCTGCGACGAGTTGTTTGCGATCAATTGTCGCGCGATCAGTTGTTTGCGACCAGTTGTCGTAGAATCCTAAAAAATATATCATACGATTTAGGTATTCAGAAGTAAGTATGGGTTGGGAAACTGTATGTGAAAATAAAATTCCCTTTATAATCTATTTTAGGAGATAACTATTAAGGGTTTGCCAAATTTGAGACAAAAAAGGGTTTTATTAAAATGAGCTTCTTTATTATTAATTAATTTTAAGTAATTAAACAAAATTTTACCTAAAACAAAATTTCTTTTTTTCATCCTGCATTCTGCTGCAGTAGAGTACTTGTAAACAAATTAAAATTTCTTCTGAAAACCAAGACAACCTTTTACGCCACATATGTAATTATGATCGTATACTGGTTTTTGTGTACTTATTTGTTATCATTAAGAATTATTCAATATGTTGGTTGCGCAAGTTTTGTTGAATTATTCTTTTACAATTTTTGCTATCAAATTAAATTACGAGTATATTTTTGGTTATCTCAATTAAAAATTTGTTATGTTAAACAGTGTTTTGGTTTCAGAGGATTCGAGTCTGCAACTCTTGTTGAACCTCGAAACGCTAGTATCTCTATACTTGGCTTGGGCAACAGTGTCGGCACACCTCCAGAGGGAATTTTAGCTGAAGTGTTGGTGGTGAAATCATTTGATGATTTACAAAGTAAAGCTGAACAGGTATTCATTCCGTTTTGTTATTTTGTTGTAAATATAAATATACATATGCATCAGTCCTTTAATTAAAGCAAAAATTGTGTTTTTATAGGCGAAAGGCAAAATCGTCGTCTACAATGAAGATTTTGTCTCCTATGGATCTACTGTCATTTACAGAGGCAAAGGTGCTACAGAAGCTTCTAAAGTAGGCGCTGTAGCAAGTCTTATAAGATCGATTACCCCATTTTCACTAAATACCCCTCATACGGGCATGCAAACTTATGGACAAAATGTTACCAAAATACCTACAGCTTGTATTACCTTAGAAGACGCCCATTTCCTACAAAGATTACAGGACGAGGGTAGAACGATCAAGATTTTATTAAAAATGGAAGCTCACACTCTTCCAGATAAGACTTCGAGGAATGTTGTTGCCGAAATTGAAGGTACAGAACATCCTGAAAAAGTGGTGATAGTTTCCGGTCATATTGATAGCTGGGATGTTGGTAATGGTGCCATGGATGATGGTGGAGGTTTTTTTATTTCATGGGCAGCCTTAGCACTTTTGAAAAGTTTGGGTCTGAAGGCTAAAAGAACCGTAAGGTAAGTATCATGAAGAAATAATTCAATTTAAAAATGTTTAGATAAAACAGGGCTATATTTTGGACAGCTGAAGAGTTTGGTTATGTTGGAGCATACCAGTACGCTACAAGGCATGCCAACGAAACCGATAATTTTATTTTTATGATGGAATCTGATAGTGGAACTTTCGATCCTGTAGGATTACAATACAGTGCTGGTACCACTGGAGGGTGTATAATACAAGAAGTCATGAAGTAAGCAATTTTGTTCAATATATCTATAAAAAAGAGTACTTATCGGGGAGAGTTTTAGACTACTGGCTCCAATTAATGCAACACGAACTCGACAGTCACCTTCGGTAGGTTCTGACATCGAAATATGGACTTCGGAAGGAGTGCCAGGTGGTTCTCTTGATACTGAAAATGATAAATATTTCTGGTATCATCACTCAAATGCAGATACTCTAGAAGTAGAGAATCCTCAGTCTTTAGATAAAAATACCGCTCTGTGGGCATCTGTGGCTTACGTTTTGGCAGATTTAAGTATTGATTTTCCACGAGAGACGACGGATGGATAAGAGAGGATCAGGTAGTGAATATTGTTAAATGTACATAGGTATTATTTTGTTGATAAAAACTAATAAATTGTAAATAATCACCTAATATGGTCTTATTTGATTATATGAACGGTTTTGATAATGAGAATTGAGGAATATATCTCACACTACATACCTATAACAAGAAACTATCGAACAAAAGTTACCTTTAGGTAAACCGAATACTTCTAGTATAGTATATATTACGATATTACTTCTTCAAGTGCTATCTAAGCTTCTCATGCTATTTTGATTATGTTTTGTTGGGTTGATTAAAACAAGTTTCATGGTGATTGAAGAAAGTATTATTTATAAATGCTATCGTGAGTACTACGAAGAAACGGGAGTACTTTTTTTAATTGATATACACGTTGTGGCCTTCAAACAGTTATGAAGACTTTATCTCTGGATATTCTAATATTCAATAATTATGATGTCAGAGGTTAGACATTGAAATAAATTACTTTTATCAGCACCCGACTGCTTCAGTGGTGTTCAGCTTCCGATACATAATGGGTGTTTGTCGAAATTTTATCGTTTTGTGGACAGTAGCTTTAAGTCTAATGGTGTGCGTGGTTTGTAATAATAACACTGAAGACAATGACAGTTTAATAACAAACAAGAAAACTCTCAGCGAATGTAATCTTCCAACTGAGTTAAAGACCGAAATTGCTTCGTATTCTTCGACTGTGGAAAAAATTATTAACGCGGCTGTTAATGGAAGCTTCAAAGGAGTGACGTATCGGGAATTAAGTCTTTTTGTGGATACTTTTGGTAGTCGGATATCAGGTTCCCAAAATTTAGAAAATGCAATCGATTACATGATAAATAAATCTATAACTGACGGCCTTGAAAATGTTCATGGTGAAGACGTGCAAGTTCCACACTGGATAAGGTATGAAAAAAAGGTGCTGTAATGATGATGATCTTTTACTGTTTTTTTTTTTTACACACGGTACGGGATGCAAATAATATGCAACGCACTGTTGATTATTATATGAAGATTAGTTAACTGATACGTCCGTCATCTGAACGTGCCCCTCGAATGCGGAAAACGCGCGATTCTGTAATAAGCCATACTTAGAACTGGTTACGATCAATCACAAATCGGTGGCACAAATAAAAAGGTGCATGAACATAGGCCTTCAAGTAACGTATTATAATAAATAAATACATGTATACATAGAAGTAGGCTTGTATACAAGAACTATCTTCACTAGAAAAAATTCTTGTGCGGTTTACACAATCAGCAGTAGTTTAAAGTTCATCAATAATACTTTTACAAGTATTGCTACTGAATTAAATTAAATCTTTTGTGATAACCCAAACGTTCCACCAAAATTGAGACATTCGCATAAAAATTTGATAACCTGCAAAAAATTTAAAATTTTGGTCATGAGTTCTGACAACAAAATGGAACCCAACGTTGCAAAAGTAACACAGCTTTCTAGTTCGCGACACCTTGTATAAAGTAAATGGACTGCACAATTCAAGTTATTATAGTGGCGTACCGACAAATTTAAACATTCATATTGACAGCTGAACCAAGAAAACAAAAATTTAATGCAACAAATCGAGCAACGGGGAACAAGCGATTAACCACAACTCAATAGAAACCATACTAATATATCCGAGTTCTAGAGGTCTGGTTTATGCTGAGGCTTTAGTCCATCCTCCACAAAGAAACAATCAGCTTCATGGTGGCGGAACCCGGTATTCCGAATAAACATTGACATTGACAGTGATAATACTGTCTCTGCCTTTGCTACGCGGTCCTGTGCATTTATCCCGACTAAGGTTCACAACAAATAACTCAGATGATGTTAAATTATACGTTAACGGAAGCTACTGGTTAAATCAAATGAATTTTCCCAAAGTTACATCGTGACAGAAACAAAACACATTAAATACGGCAGAAATAATGTGATTTCAGGTACACCCGTTGCTGTGAGAGGAGTATCCGAGAATAAATGTTTAAAATTCAAGGCGTAGAACGCATAAATGATGGCACAAAACAAGTATAAAATGCTCCGTTCAGATTCGAGTCCACGATGACATTAATTTAATGATTTTCAAAGTTTTTCTTCTCAAATTTTGTAGATGTTTAAAATTAAATCTTGAATGCTAGCAATTTACTATTTTTAAAATACCGAATGAGAAGTTATTAAATGTAAATAATAAAAATTGGGCAAACTATCCAGCACTTTAGGTACATATATCATAATAATTAATATAGTTAATTCCGCGGATTTTTACGTGTTTTAAAGTAACGTTTACGTTGCTATAATAATTATTTTTACAGCAAAACAAATCTAACTAAAACATTCTAAAAGCACCTTCACAAATGGCGCCTTGCTTTCAATAAAATATAGAAATACATGTGTTACAATAATACATGGTGTATTGCGTAGAAACATGTCTTGGATAAAATTACTAGTTCCTCCGTTATTATACAAAAATTTAACAAGCAACAGTTTAAAAACATATGTAGCTTCGAACACCACACACGCCTTTTCGCTTTCACTATCAAAATTTAATTGATACTCTGGTGAGGAAGGGAAAGATCCATTACTAACTTTTGGAAAACCCCCCGAAGGAAAGAATTTATTCTTTATAAAGGTGGTTTCGCTGTTTGTTATTTTTTCTGAAGCTAAATTTAATATTTACGATTTGGTTATCCGAATTATTTCAGTTTTTATGTTAAACAATGTTTTGTTAGAGGATTCGAGTCTGCAACTCTCGTTGAGCCTCGAAACGTTAGTATCTCTATACTTGGTTTGGGCAACAGTGTCGGCACACCTCCTGAGGGAATTTTAGCTGAAGTGTTGGTGGTGAAATCATTTGATGATCTACAAAGTAAAGCTGCACAGGTATGCATGCCGCTTCGTTATTTTTTTGTAAATATGAATATGCATCAGTCTTTTTTTAAACCAAAAATTCGGTTTTTATAGGCGAAAGGTAAAATTGTTGTCTATAATCAAGAGTTTGTCTCGTATGGATCTTCAGCTGTTTACAGAGGCAAAGGTGCTACCGAAGCTTCTAGAGTAGGAGCTGTAGCAAGTCTTATAAGATCAATTACCCCATTTTCACTAAATACGCCTCATACGGGCGTGCAAAGTTATGGGGAAAATGTTACCAAAATACCTACAGCTTGTATTACTTTAGAAGACGCCCATTTCCTACAAAGATTACAGGACGAGGGTAGAACGATCAAGATTTTATTAAAAATGGAAGCTCAAACTCTTCCAGACACGACTTCCAGGAATGTTGTTGCCGAAATTGAAGGTACAGAACATCCTGAAAAAATAGTGATAGTTTCTGGTCATATCGATAGCTGGGATGTTGGTAATGGTGCTATGGATGATGGTGGAGGCGTGTTTGTTTCTTGGGGAGCGCTAGCGCTTTTGAAAAGTTTAGGTCTGAAAGCTAAAAGAACCGTAAGGTAAGTATCGTGAAGAAATATTTCAACTTAAAAATGTTTAGATAAACAGGGCCATATTTTGGACAGCTGAAGAGTTTGGTTTTGTGGGAGCGTACCAATACGCTAGAGATCATGCCAACGACACGGATAATTTTGTTTTTGTTATGGAATCCGACATTGGAACTTTCAATCCTGTAGGATTAGAATACAGTGGTGGTACTACTGGAAGATGTATAGTGCAGGAGGTTATGAAGTGAGCAATTTCGTTAAATATTTATATAGAAGAGTATCTGGTAGTCCTGTTTCAGACTACTTGCTTCAATTAATGCTACTGGAGTACGGCAGTCACCTTCAGTAGGATCTGACATCTACATGTGGACTTCAAAAGGAGTGCCAGGTGCATCTCTTGACACTGAAAATGATAAATATTTCTGGTATCACCACTCAAATGCAGATACTCTAGATGTAGAAAATCCTGATTCGCTAGATAAAAATACCGCTCTTTGGGCATCGGTTGCTTACGTTTTGGCAGATTTAAGTGTTGACTTTCCACGAGAGCTGATGGATGGATAAGAAAGGATAATTTTAAGATTATTGTTAAATGTACATATGTACCTACTATCTTGGTGATAAAATCTAATAAATAAACACTTAATATTTGATTTTTGAACGGTCTTGATAAATAATCAGAATTGAAGTATACGTCTGTCCCCAGAGATAAGGGCAAACTATCTATCATGAAATAGTTGAAACAGTAATTTTGTTATGTTGGGTGCAAATATTATAATACTTTCTTTAGCAGCACTTGTTGCAGCCGACTGCAATTTATCTGAAGAATTAAAAAATGAAATAGCGTCTTATGCAACTACAGTTGACTTAATCATCACCGCCGCTACTAAAGGAAGCTTTAAAGGTGTTACCTATAATGAATTAGCAAAATTTGTAGATAGATTTGGTGGACGCAAAGTAGGATCAAAAACTTTGGAGGATTCGATAGATTATATGTTAAATTTATCACTGGCTTATGATTTACAGAACGTACATGGAGAAGAAGTGGAAATACCCGTATGGGAGAGGTATAGTATTTTAAAATATTTCTTTATGTTAAAATTATTTTTTTTGTAGAGGATCGGAGTCTGCTGTATTAATAGAACCTAGAACCAAAGACATTCGAATGCTTGGATTAATCTATAGTGTTGCTACTCCAGTAGAAGGTATTCTAGCAGAGGTTTTAGTAGTGAAATCATTTGATGAGTTAAAGGAAAGAGCTGCTGAAGTATTTATTTTACTTTTACACATAATTCTTTACTTATGTAAAGTTTTTTAGGCGAACGGCAAGATCGTGGTTTTTAATGAAGACTTTATCAGTTATGGTGAAACAGGACAATATCGTGGTTACGGAGCAATTGAGGCAGCTAAAGTTGGAGCTGTTGCCACTTTGATAAAATCAGTGAGTCCTTTTTCTCCTGCTAATCTTCACACAGGTATTCTTGCATACGACGACAGTATTACTCCCATACCTGCTGCCTGTATTGCTTCTAATGACGCCAATATGTTGCAAAGAATGCAAGAAAGAGGGGAAACTATTAAGATTCTTTTAAAAATGGAAGCTAAAATGTTGCCTAATCAAATATCACGAAATGCCGTCGCAGAACTTAAAGGAAATATAAACCCGGAAAAGGTAGTCATTGTTTCTGGTCATATAGATTCTGTGGATGTTGGAGACGGAGCGATGGATGATGGTGGTGGAGTTTTCATTTCGTGGGCAGCTGCAGCTTTACTCAATTCTTTGGGACTTAAGCCTAGAAGAACTATACGGTAGAAAAGTATTTAACTTGATTTTTGGAGTTTTTCATTTAGTTGTCTTAAGAGCTATCTATTGGACAGCAGAAGAGGTAGGAGGAGTTGGTTTAACTGCTTATCAACAAGTTCACAAAGACGAAATTGAAAATTTCAACTTTGTTATGGATACCGATGTGGGAACGTTTACTCCTTTGGGTATTGAATATGAAGCTGGGGAGAATGGAGGATGCATATTGCAAGAAATAATGCAGTGAGCGGATGAAAGTGGTTCTGTGTATATAATGGAAATTGTAATTTGCTTTTTTTTAGATTGTTAACATCGATTAATGCAACTCAAGCAAGATCTGTTGAAATGGGTCTTTGGCCGGAAACCCCAACGGCTTCTTTATATAATGCAAACGAACAATATTTCTGGTATCATCATTCACCTGAAGATACTATGGACATTGAAGATACCAACGCATTAGATAAATGTACTGCTGTCTGGAGTTCGGTGGCGTACGTTTTGGCTGATTTGTCTGTTGATTTTCCAAAAGACTAATATTTTCTCTTCACTATTAATTCTGTATTACTAATGTTGATTTCCACTTTCACTTTGGTTACAATATTTGTCAAAGAATGAATAAATGCGCTGTATATATATTATATATTTGATGTTTGTTGTATTACATTACATGGATGTTATATTGGTGCTATTCAGGCATTAAGCTACCTTTAGCTGTAAACTAACAATTAACTAACCATATAGATAAAGTAGCGACATCAACAAATGAACCAATAAGTGACCACTTTATGTTTTAAATTTATAAGGGCAAATCCTTTGCAAGAACTGTGTTTGAATACAGGGTTTACGGAAATAATTTTCCATTAGAATGTATAAAAGAAACGTCAGATTTTTTTTACAAAAAAAAAATCGGCAGATTTAACGATGGTCTGTTGTTGGTTTAATGTTTTATTTGTGTTTAGAATGGTTAGTTATTGATGCTTCTACTTTATATAATTTGATTACATAACACCATTGTATATAATATTAATTTTAATAAAATTTTTAACATTTATACAGGGTGAATCTGCTTAAAGATTGCACTGACTTTTGAAATTTTTAGAAAACTCTAAATTTAATGTCAGATTGCATTTTAAAAATATGGATTCTGAATTTGTGTTTTCTTTTTCACCCTGGACTATACAAATATCACAACAGCAATAATACTGATAATTTCGTTTACTAGAACAGATAACCTCTATAAAGTGCAGCTCTATGGTTTTATATGAGTGTTGTTTCGTCTTGGTGTTCAAACACCATCAGCAAAGAATGCTGCGATGAGGATCTTTCCGTGTGGCTTAAGAGTGCAGTTCGTTCTCCATTTTCATTCAAGGAACAATCAGGCGAACTATTATCGCACTGTAAATTTGTAGTAGTGGCGCTACTGGTAGATGGCAAATCATGAATATCTGGAGACGCTAGTGGGGGAAACGACTTTGGGCTAGATTCCAAATTGTCTCTTAGATGCATGACCGGATAAGATTCTTTATACCCAGAAGTACTTGAAGTTTGAGAAATTGCGCTATCTTCATCCCATGAACTCTCAGTGGGTTTACCACGAATTGAAATTCTCAAACGATGTTGATCTGAGATTTGTTGTGGTTGTTGTTGATTATTGTTCGTTGTAACTGGAGGTGTTTCTGTTGTTGGAGTGGACTGAGAGTGAGTGATTGCTGGTGGTGTGGAAGGTACAAGTGGGGAACCTGGCTGAGGAGATTCCTCCGATTCCAATTTGCTGTGTGAGAGCTGAAAAGAAATCATCATTCAAGAGATATATAGTAGAAATATATATATACTTCTACTCGGCTGTTTTTGCGGCTTTTTCGAATTCTAAAGGTTTTGCGACTTTGTGGCTTGATGCGTTGGAGGCGAGATTTGCTGGGATGATTTTCACCAGAGCTATCATCTGCAGGACTTCCCGGACTTAAAGGAGTCGTTGAAGTCTCCCCTGAAGAGTAGGTCACAAATTTATTGACTATTTTAAATGCATTGAATGGAGGAAAAGAGTTTACCTGATGAATGTCTAAATTCTACAGAAGAGACAAATCGGAGTTTATGTGCCTTATGAGACATTAAAGACTCAGATTTAGGCATTTGTACACCATGTTCGTCACTCACAGATGACCTTTGTGATGAACGATCTGAAACATGCAGACATCGAACACCGACTAATAGATGAGTGAAGAGTTTAGAGTGTGTTCAAGGGTAGAATGATTAGTATAGTTTAAAGAGTTTTTCGAAGTCATGCTGTACAATAACACTGCTGAACCGAGTATCTACGTTTTGTGTTATAGTGTCACTAACCAGTTACTGCATTGCATGGAGTTGAACTATCGTTGGCATTTACATCCTGTGCATCACTTGCTGCTTGGTTCGGTGTTGATTGACTAGTGCTGGTGGATGACTCTGGAACTATCGTAATTCCTCTTCGATAGTATTCTAATTTAGAATTCAACAATCTACCTTTGGGCGGAAGTGTTGTGTGCGGATGGTCGGTGGAACCTTTAGATCCATGGTCTCCAGTAAGTAAACTAATAAGTGAAGGCCGTTGTCGTCCATGGTTAGTTTCAGTAGTCATTTGCACCGTGGGTTGAGTGGCTTCTTGTTTTTTAATGTCAGCAGTATTTTCGGAACCTGAAACATGTTTTTTTTTAATGTTTCAAAACTATTAACACTTACTATCTTCCAGTTCTTCTTTGAGTTCTTTCATTTGATGGGCAAGTTCCATTAGAAGAGCTCCACGACTTTTAGGAAATGGTAAACCTATGCCTCTTATTTTATCCCTAATTTTTGCATGAATGTTGCGTTCAAAATCTGATATCGGTGGTTGAGCCAGCTGAAACATTTACATTACGACACACGAGTGACACGTACAGAAAGAAAAACCTTTTGAAATATAAATGGTTGCATTAAAATGAACAGCGGTGTTCTATGTGTGACTACAAAGTCTAAAAAATCCCACAGAAAACTTGCGGCTTCATTCCTTTTCCCTAATTCTCTCATAGTTCGTGCTATTTTATTCCATACTGTCATCAACTCACCTTCAAAGCATATAGTCATTATTTTTAGAGCTAGAATGAATGAATGAGAATCTTTTCTAAACTAAACTTAATTTTTTTACCAAGGAAAGAAACTTGGTACAATGAAGTATTAATTTTTGAAGACGTTTTTGTATCTCTAGTGCCCGTGAAAGTTAAACTTCCTGTACGAATTTCGGCTGTTGATTTTAAGTTAGGTCCTGATGAGGCTACTGATTTGGTATTAGGAGGACTCATTGCATGTAGAACCAAGGTGAGGGCGAAACTGATATCATTTTGTTTCATGGCATTCACATCTAAAATTTGTTTCCTTAAAAACTGTAAAATTGTCTTTTGATTTACCTTTTCGGCCACTTCCAACACGCAAACATAGCGGCATTATCAGATTCATTATCATACTTTCCGTCTTATCCTGGGTGGAAAATGTGGAACTGCCACCACAAACTTGTTCCAGGGTACAGTTATCCTAAGACCGGTTAGTGAAAGAAGAAATTATTTCAATCTGTTGTACTTACATTGGTATTTTGAATTTGGAGAGCAATTAAACGAACTACCATGGAACAGAAGTGAGGTGGAGGAGCTTGACTCATCAAAGCTGCAGTAGCTGAAGAAACCCCTTCGCTAGCGTAATATTCTGTCACTATTAGCGCCTGTAAAATAATTTTAATATGTGTGGATATTAAAAATTAGTTTATTTGTACCTGACACGTATTGATGAGTGCTTTTATGTGTTGCCAGTGCATTATATAAGGATATTTTAGCATGGTGTCATAAATCCCTTTAAGAAGACCTGCAGCTGCATCCCAGTCAGTATTTCTCTAAAATGTAACGTTTAAGTTTAAAAAATTTGTTGTTTTTATGAGTACCCTAATCGAAGGTTTTTTTGATATTTTTTGGAAAACTTTGTCCAGACGTCGCAGTATTGTAACTAGAGCAGGTCGCATAGCATCGTTTGCCCATTCCGTTGACGGTAAAATATAGCTCATGTAGTGTTGCAAGCCTCTACACCCCATAGACTCTGGGTCATACGGTGATACTTTTAATAAACTATGAGCGATATCAGCCAGCCGCTAAAATAACATTCGTTGGAAATTAGGTATAATTGTTTTTAATAAAGTCATACGATGTGTGATCTTATGTCCAACAACTCAATAGTTTTCCCTTCTTGGTTATTCTTTTTGTTTAATTCTATTAACCTAGCCGTTGCTCTGCACATAAATTCTCCTACAAGTGATAAAAGAACATCTCGAGGCCTTCTGTATTCCGCTCTAAGAACTTCCGAGTCTTCTACATCGTGTTCATACATGCTTTTAGCTCTAGAATGTTCGCTCATGAATTTGGAGTGCGATTCATCTTCGAAATCAAAACCAGGAGAGTAAGGCCCTCTGCTGTAGTTTCTTTGGCTAGAGCCTTTGTGTTCTGGGCTCGAACGATAAGGTCCATTGTAGCTCCTAGTGGAAAAATGGTCTAGAATATTGAATTGAACTGGTACTAAACTCACTTAGTCAGTGCCTCACAGTTATTGACTAACGTCTTGATGGAAACTGCAAGGTGATTGATGATTTCCTTTTCGGTTTTACCTTCTTTATTGTACGATGGCAACTGAATGTGTTGGACATAACAAGGTAAGATTGCTTCTAATATTATCTTTAAAATAATTCGAATAATTTTCCAGTGTTAATGTTTCAGTTATACTTACAAGCATTTGATAACCTCTTACACTCTCGGAGGAATATGAAACTACCATCACACATAAAGATATGCAATCTAGAATAGTTACCATTTCGTTTTCGTCGTGATAGCAAAAATCTATGGCTTTTAGTGGTTTTTCTTCTTTTACAAGTTCAGCAATATTTAAGGGATCAGGTGAAGGAGTTTCCAAGCTTAAAAGAAGATTAAAAAGACAACTTGATTGAATCTAAAATAACAAAGTCAGCGGTAGAAATAGTGGTTACAATTTCATCTACTTTATGAGCATCTCCAAACGTTCCTTCTTCATCAGTATCAAGCATTGCAGACACGGAACCAAACATCTGTAGTATGAAGGGTTTTCGATTCATTAAGTAAAACTGCTTAACAGCATATTCAACCGTTGTTGTGACTAACTTATTCGTTTGGTGGTTGGAGTATATTTTGAGCAATGTAGGCATTATCAATAAGTAACTGGAAAACATAAAGTAAGTTTGTATTGATCAATTTTTTTTTTAAATTACCCATTAGTAGAGAAAATGTTTTTAAAGTGAAACGCAGCATTGATGTATGTTGCCATAACATATCTTAGAATACACGCATCTTCTGAATGTAGAATCACAGCACCATTAAGAACGTTCAAAAACAAGTGTATATCACCAGAATATGCAAAATTACCAGCCATTGCTTCAAACATTCGTGCAATTAAACGCACCCACATGAATTTATGTAAAACATCTAAACCCAACAATTCCTTTCCTAAAGCTCCACCTTTGTACAAATCAAGATCAGATTCTAAAGCTTTGCGTGGAAAAGATGGAAGCTTCATCAATTCTTCGTGAAGAAAAACGACGCGTTGTACAACCATGTCAACGTTCTTCAAAATAGCCCAGGTTAATAGAACCTTACCAATCTCAACAAACTTATGAAGAAGTTCTTGCTTCTGTAGAGCATTGAAAGCGTCTTCAGGTTTCATATGTACCAACTCAAGTTGAGGATATTGTGATCGTTTGAAGAAATAATAGTCGCGTACATATGATGCGGGATTTCTGATTTGATCTGTAAAATGTCCACACTTAGTTATAAAGTGTCAGATTAATAAAGAAAGATGTACGTGTTTTATAGTCAACCAAGAAAAATTCTTTTTGACGGTTGTCTTCAATTCCAAAAAAGTCTAGTGCTTCCCTAAGAATTTGACAAAACTGTGTATCTTCTTGCACTGGAAATTGGGAAGGGATGCCTCCAGCATCTGGATCTAAAACAATAATTTTAACAAAACCATAGTAGGTATTTAGTTAATATAAACCTTGTGGTCCATGAACTATAATTTTCTTGGCAGAAGGAACATTAGCAGTTAGTAAAATCGACGCGTCGCATTGTTCTTTCCTTAGAATTTGCTTTAAGTCTTTGAACATAATGCCATGCACACTGTGAACCACCTAAAATAATACGAATAAAAATAATGTTGATTCGTTTATCCTCAATACCATCCATAAGACTGAAAGAGCTGCTCCAATTAACATTTGACCATCTTCATGAGGACTTCTAACGTAGAACATGACGTAGCCTATAATATAATTGTATAATGCAAATGCTGCTTGTTGAGGTAGTTTCGGAATAAATCTAATAACATGTCGTAAAATCTTAAACATCTGTTCTTGCTTCTCGCGTGTTAAACGTTCTAAAATGTATCTTAAAAACAAAGCACTGTCTTCGACTAAACAGCACCAAATCACCTAAAATTACAAAAGTAATGGAGCTTGTTAGAGCAATTTTGTTTCCTACTTGATATGCAACTTCATAAACTGCATTTCCATCTGCAGAAACAGCAGCATCATCTAGCAGGGTTATAATTTGTACAACTGCAGAACACAAACAAGATGGGAAAAGTGAGTGAGCTGAATGAAGGTGATGGCCTGTGTTTCTAGTCTGGCCGTCAGTTTGTTCATCGTCAGCTGCTACAATTTACATTAGACTGAAAATCAGTTGAACACTAATAGCAAACCTTCTTCGTGTTCTTCACTAGTATGATAGAGACTAGGTTCGTGTGCTGCTTGGATAGTAATGGGAATTGTTGTAATCAGAAAGTTTTCCCTTTCTTCCCTCTTCTTATCGTCTTGGGCTTGAAGAGCCATTTTTATAAGTTCGGTTTGTTGCTTTTTTCGAGTTTTTGTTGCGGTTACTAGAGACCTCTGTAATAATACACGTCAATCTTTGGCTGCAATAAAGGTGAAGAATTTCATACGTGTCGTTCTTGATTAATAGTAACTTCTTCTACTTTCGTTTTTACTAAAAGCTCCCAAGGTGAGTCAACAACATCTAAGGATTCGATACCTATCTTTGGAGAGGGTAAGGTAAATTCGATGCCTGGGGGCGGTACTTTAAACAAGATATGAGCACTTTCTTCCATTCTAGGCCAAACTTGATATCTCATTTTCCATAGTACTTGAAATCTAGAAAGTATATTTACACATACTTTAAAATTGTCGATAATTCTACCTTAATATGGCATTAATCCGAAATGCTGGGTCTGGATGAGACAGACCATGTTGCATTATGTCAGAGACCTGTTGTGGAGCCTTAACAGCTGCTAAAATAAACAAAGAAGCAGCGCATGCTGTCACTTCTTGATTACTCTCCAACAATAATTCCCAAGCAACAGGAATTATTTCAATAAAGTGCTCTTCTGAAAGAATTACCGCTCCTTTTAGTAGAACGGCAAGAGGACTGTGAAATGCATCTTTAACCTAAAAATTTCCGTAGAGGGTGTTTTTACAAAAATATATACAAATCAAAACCTGTGTTTTGATATATTTTAAAATTGGTGGTGGTTCAGATGGTTTTCCATCATTACTGCCTTTAGATGGATCTTGGCCAGTGTCGGAATCTGCAATATCTCTGGAAGAGTCTTTAGAAGCTAATTTGCTTAACTGTGAACCGTCCAAGGTTTTATCAATTCTGTAAATTGCGTTCGTTAGAAAATTTCTAGTATTTTTTGAATAACACTAACTTTTCTTTTTTGCCAACACTGTCCTTACGGCGTATGGGCGACACTTGAGAACTTGTTTGATCAGATACTTTTCTATTTTGACCCTTATCTTTTTTGTTGGTTTTTTTCTTACCACCAAAATCCATACTCAACTTATCATCTAACACCCCAAATTCTTCACCATAAACTTTACGAACTGCTTTTACTAATCGACTGCAACCTCTCATGACACGTCGGTAACAGAATGGATGGCAGAAATTTTGATGAGTGCAGTAGTAATAAAAAGAGTTAGCAACTTGAACCATTACCTAGAAAAAATATTCAGAAGATGTTGTCGTCTGTCTAAGAATTAAAATATAATTGAAATTACTTTCATCCATGGCATATTTTTAGTTGTGTCGTCTGTGTCATTACTATCACTTGGACTTTCAGGTGGCTGATCATCGCTTAAAACACCAGGGGATTCTTCACCACTGGCTTCACCCGGCATACCAGGTTCTGACGTGTCACTTCTATCCGATAGCGAACTGACTTTTCTTTTAGACTGTATGGAGTCTGCTCTTTTAACTGTTTCTGGAATTCTCCCTAGAAATACTTTCTTTTGCTGCGTGTTCAGCTTATCGTTCTAATAATTACATTCAATTTCCATTTCTTTTCCCTCTTTTGTACCACGGCGCAATTTCAAACTTCTTCTTTTAAATGAACCACCAGAAGCAGCTGCCGTTCCTCGACGTAACAAGTAAGGACGTGGTGGTTGTGCAATTCTCTTCCCCTCTTCACCCTGCATCATTGCCTATTGACATTTTAATAACTAGATCTTCTCTACTTGTGTTAACGTGTGGTGTGTGTTAAGGTGTACTTTGTTAAACTACAATGATTACCTGCATAGTAACAGTAGTATTGCTACTTCCTTCGGATTCATTATCAGGTTCATGTAACACAAAACTAATCTTTCGCTCTGCTTGACCTAACCAAAAGAATTAATTGATATTAAATGCCACAACAGCTCTACTACCTGAATCTCTATCACCAGCTATTGACTGAAGACTTTGCGCCGACGTCTGCGAATGCCCCATCGAAGACAAAGCCATACTCCACCTCCTGTTAGCTTCACGACTGTACATACGTTCCCATGGAGGAGGTCTTTCTTTTCCTGTCATTCGTGACGACTTAGGTAGTGTTTGGTAAGTTTCCCGGAGAAATCCAGTAATTTCGTGAAGCAATATACACGCAATCAAACGCAAAGCCATTGGGCAACTTGAACCATAACTGTTTATACTCGCTGCAATCGTTACATTATTATTTGAGTCTGAACAAAACTAACAAACCTTCATCTAAAAAGTCCTCTTCTTCGTCTTGCATTAAGAGTTCTTTCTGCTTCTGTTCATCTAAGATCATTGCTGCAATCTGCGGTTCCAGCTGTTTGTCTTCGTTCATAATTTCTTCCAAACGTTGACCTAACACTTCTGCCCATTGATAAAACATTTTCCCTGCAGCTCTTTGCATTATATGGGAGCGTCTTATGCCGGTACCAGGACCTCTAGGAGGTAGCGGTCCCGATGGTCGAAACATTGGAAAATTCAGTTTCATCCACGAGGGCCACTGTCCTTTGTTACAACAGTGTACAAAATAGGAACATTCTAAAAATAAGGTGGCTCTTGCAACAACCGTGGAATGAGGCTACAATTTTTAGTGAGTATGGGTAGATGGATGTTTTTAGTAGTACCAGATCTAACATAGATGCAAGAAGATGAGAGTCCGGTACTGTTCCTGGAGGACATGTTTCCAACAGGAATGACAATCTTAATGCTCCTTGATAGACAGGAGTAGTTGCTACTAATTTTCGTTCTTTGAAAACAATGAATTCTGACTCTCGCGATGATTCTCCCATTTCAACGGAATTTCGGCGGCTGAAATCTGCAAGAAAACTTTTAAAGTTTCCCTGATTCTAGTGTTTTAGTTAGTACTAACAGCCTCCCGAAGATTCTTCTGTACTTCCATCTTTTTTCTTTCCCTTCTTCAAAACAAATTTATTAAAACGATCTTCAACCCTTCGTTTGGCTTTCTGGAGGGTTTGACCAACGTTACTGCAAATTATTATTTATTTGGATGCGGTTCTCATGCCTAAAGTGGTTCGTACCTCTTTCCACTCTTATTAGGATAATATTTGGATGTCTGCCGAATAAAGCTAGATGTATCTGTTCCAGAATCACCATTATCTTGATTTTCGTTATCATCAATTGATGTTTGATCGCTTTTTTTGAACCAATTAACTAGAACCATTGAGTCAGTCTCTGACTTGTAGCGGTACAATGTATCTTACCGATGCCTCCTAGTTTGGATTTCGTTTTAGTTTTAGTAGGAGGTTCCAAAATCCCTAAAGTTTTTTCACTTTGGCGCGGTGTTAAAATGTGCCGTTTTCTTAAGTTGCCTAAAGGACTTTGACTTATTTTTGAAAGTTCTTCGGCCTCAGTTTCCAGTAAACTCTAAAGATACATTTTACTTAACAGTTTGTCATTTTGTAATAGTAAATACCGCGCAGGTAGAAGAGGTACTTCTTTTTTTGAAAAGTAATTTTCTGACTCCTTTTTCGTCTATCGTATAAGATGTATCAGTAGCAACATCACCTTGATCTTCCAATTCGGAGTGGTGCATGTGTCTAAAAATGCAAGATTACTCTTGTAAGCAACAAATTCTTCTGCGATTTACCGAATGACTCGCGTTGTCTGAGTATTAGTTTCTTTTCTGGTGGGCCTGTCTGCTGTGTCTATCAACGCACTTAGAGCAACCCTTCGGAAAACACTACCATGCCCTTCTTTAACATAAGTCATGAGTTGTCTAACTTCACAGTACAGCCCCTACAAATTCCATAATCAAACATCTTCTAAACTTTGTAGAAAATGTTACCATGTTATCTGGTGACTTGATTTCTTTTGCTGAATCGACAAATCTTGTTACCGCTGTTTTGAAAACGTGTGTCATGATCTGACCTTCAACTCCTCGAATACCACCTCCACCTACGCCTGTGTCAAAGTTCGTTGAATAACCACCTTGCGATACCGTGTCAGGTGACCTGCTAGAGCCCCGCTTCTGGTCTGTACGAAATGTTACGCTCAAAATTTACAGCTTTGAAATAGTGATCTTAGCCTTTGCACACACATTTTACAGCCCAAAATCCTTTACCTTAAAATGGTTAAGTTGGAGATTAAAATAAAGTTGTTCCTAGGGCAATGAGTGTACAAACTGGAGTATCAATTTTCAAAGCTTCGTTCTATTCTACTCTAGCCATAACGTCCAAAAATCGGAAGCAAAAAGTTGGGAAAACGAGACCAGTTCTCTATGGAGCACAGCATAGCACATACACTAGTCTGACAAGGTGAAGTTAGTGAAAAGTAAAGTCCATGTCAATTTGGACAAGGGTATAAAATTGTTTGTGTGACGGTTTAAGAGAAGTAAATTGTGTGATAAGAACGATTTAAGAAATATTTTGTGGTAATGCAGTTTAAGGATGAGAGTATGTCACATTTATAACAGTCAGTGTAGGTATGTCACACTTAACTATAACTTACTCAGAGGAGATAGTAAAGAACTGGGATCGATACAGTAACCAAGATATGAGTGGAAAAAGTCCAGAATATCTGGCAAAGTTTGAAATTTAACATAGTCCCTTAGAAAGTCCTTAAATTGTTTTGTGCTGGCTCTGTTCAGTTTTGCTAAAATATTTTGGCACTGAGTTCTCAAGAACTCTGCTGCTGGTCCTCTTTGACCATCAGCACATCCATGAGGACAACCTAAATGTTTTAAAACCCTGTTAAAAAACGATTAATAAGGTACCAGTTATGGTTACATATGATCACCTGATGATAATATTCATAATCAGTCTGTGAGAAGTGAGTGGTTTGGTGGACTTTTCGAGTTCACCACCTAGTGAAGTGTATGTGGTACTAGTAGGCATTTTTTGGGTTTTCCCTGGACTGGTAGTTTGTCCAGTTGCAGTTGCGCTACTCGCTGCTTCTTCTCTTAAGCATTGTTTTAGAACTCCAACATCAATTAAAAGTTCAACCAAGTTCAAAATGACTTCTAACACTCGCAGGGTACAAGCAGTATTATCACGTAGCGAAGTTGCATGGACAGCCTTGTAATCGTTAGTCAGTTAAAAACTAACTTTGTAATCATACTTACTTTTAGTACAACTTGGAAATCAATATCACCTTCTTTTGTAATATAACATGCAGAACCCGGAGCTTCTGGAATATCCTCTCCTGCGTAAGTTATGTTGGAATCGGTTTGGGAACGGGTTAAACTGGATTTTCTTTCTTGCCAGTTGCCTAACTTGCTTCCAGATAAGCTTACAGCGTCTAGCTGACTATCCATGGAACCCTTTATAAATGTTATTTAAAAAATTAACCATCGAGCAGAACAAGTTATTAAACCTGTCTTTTGAGATAATCTGGTGACGGTGTTGGAGTATGTTCCGTTACAGTAATAATGGGATTGGCCATTGGTTGAGCTGGTCGTTCAAATCGGCTGGGTCTCCTCCAATCCCAATGAATTTCTCCAATGTATCTACGCCAAAGTCAAAAGTTTGATCTTTGTCAATTTTGAAAAAAAATAGCGCTTTAAAAGCAGCAGCATTGATGTGACTTTTTGTCTTTTAACTAAGCTTTGTAGTGTCAACAGCGTGGTACTATAAGCTACTCTAAGGAAATGCATACTTGTGACGTTTATTCAACATTATTTGATATGTTGAATAAAGCCACCGGACGTGAAACGATAGATGCACTACTCACCCACCAGAGGTTAATTCATCTATCAAACAGCTAAGAGAGACAGAATACATCATAAGACATTCAAGACAGTCAAGGATACCAAAGCACTTCGATTATTAGTATAAACATAAATAAATAAATAATAAACACTCTAATAATCGAAGTTTCTGAATATGCAAGAAGATAAGAAACCAAAAACATGTGATTGACAACATCTCAGCACACAATAGTTTTGAAGTAATGTTTATGTGGTACGATTATCAATACTATCAAAAGTTACAGATTTAGACAAACTACAATAATACGTAGGTGGTAAGAGTAAGAAAACATTAATTGATCTATTCTTGCTTATAAGTCTAACGTAAAGTCTCTGTGAAATATCGTGAAACATTACTCTCATCTTACGTGTAAAAGAGACACATTTTACTGACCTTAAACTTGGCATACTTTTTCCTTTAACTAGATTGCTGGCTGCGGGTTCAAACATCTTTGACATTGCAGAGCTTGGTCTTGATAAATGTTCATCACCTGTATCCAAGCTGCGATGATAATCCTGTAAATCTAGGACTTAGCTTAGGGAGTTATTTTCCAAAAAGTTACATAAAAAGCATCAATTAATAGTAGCACAATTTATAAGAACTTACAACAGTGCGGCAAGCAACAGAGGAAGAAGGAACATAGTGACAGTAAGAACAAGAAGATGGTATACATACACTAAGAATTCGCCTTGAACCCACCGCATGTTCTCCTAATGGTTTAGGTTCGTCCTGTCCAATTTTTTCCAACGCTTTGTCAGATTTAGATAGTAATTTAGTCTCAACAAAAGCTTTTAGGTCTGCCATCTTCATTCGTTTCTTAGTTTTTTCGCTAGCTCGTCTCAAACTGACTGGTTCATCTATTGGTTTTTTGTTTGTGTACGGAGATTCTTAAAATGGTAATTTCAGTTTTTAAATAAAAGCGATATATTATGTACCTGCTAGAAGTGAAACATCTTTCACTTCTGGTACTTCGATAAAATCTTTGTTATTTTCTTGCTTCTTTATTTCCGTGCTTTGGTAAAGCGAAACTTCTATTTTTGGAATTGGTAACGAATTGCTTCTTCGTCTGGGTTGTTGCTGGGCAGCTGTTTCTTCACTGATGTCTCTTAACCTGAAATACGTATATTTTAGGAATGATTCTATAATTATTGTCACAATACCGGTTGTATAAATAGTGTAAAGCCCAATATATTCCTTCTTCTTGCCAATGGGTTATAAACAAACACCGTAGAACTGAAACATCCAGGAATGTAGCGGAGCTGATGTCACCTGTTTGACCTACTAAAGTCTTTCTAGACCCTTCCATATCACCTGGAGGTCCTTCAGTTGAGGGATGTTTGCTACTGTCTACAGAATCTTTGTCAGTAGACGAACTAGAAGTTTTCATGAATCTAAACAACATATATATCTTATTCTTAAGAAGTATTCATACCCGATTTTCTGAATGGAAGGCTTAGAACCCTTAGAATCTGTATTAGAAGGTGTTGTTGCCGGTTCAGCTTTAACATTATTTTTTCCTGAACTGCTTTTTCTCATAGCTAACTGAAATAGACTGGTTTCAGCCTACAAAAAATGTTTTTTAAATGTAGCACGTGTGTATATATGATCTTTACAGTGTAAATAGATGGATCTCGAAGAAAACCGTCAGATTCATGAAGTGAAGGCAAACGGAAAATAACAACATGCTCTTCTTCAGTGCTTGAACTTTCTTCGGGAATTGTTTCTGGAAAAACTGTATCTTTTGGAGATGACACCCAATTATTCTGAAAGTTTAAACTATTTAGTTGAAGTTTGTAAGTAATGGAAATTTACTTCATCATCTGTGATTTTTGTAATAGTAGCCGTTACGGTAACTGTCGCAGATGAAGATGCATTAGTAAATAAATGTTGTTGTTCTGAACTAGAAGCACTGATGCCTTGACTTGGTGGACTTTCGTGCCCTAAGCCTTCTCCAGACTGTTTACCTGAAAAAGATGAAGTTTTCACGGAAAAGAAATACGATAATGATTTAAATACTTTTAATATTTATTTTGTAAAATATAAATTCCAAACATAAAACAATAATTGCAGCAAAATATCCTACGAATAAAATGTGGAAACCACCTTGTATTTTCTCTAAATCTATGAGCTGATGTATTTCGCTGGAATATCGTTGATAAAACGTTTCCATATATCTAAATTCCTTTTTATTAACAATCTTTTTGTACCAGTAGTTAATGAAGCCATACTCAATAAGTTTGTGGATAACTTTATCGAAGTGTTCTAAATAGGGTGAATTATGTTTTAGAGGATATAAACAGTACAAACAGATGATATTTTGGTACGTCATTTTTAAGATATTTTTGGTTTGTTCGTTTAAAATTTCGGAAAACATAACGTAATTTACTACATTTCCAGGTGTCAATTGTACCATAAAAGCGTATTTCTTGCTTTCTAACTTTTTGTTGCCCTCGGAAAGATTTTCTCTGAGTTCAAATCGGGATGCCAACTTTTCATTCATAAATTTCTTTATGGCATCGTTACCATCTAACCATTTTAAGTTTGTATCTAGAATGTCTTGAATGGTATTTATATCCTTGGAAAATCTAGGAAAACTTAAAGATGTTGTTAGTCCAGCGGAATAGTATGTTGCCACAAACATCGAAAATATAAGTGAATTCAGCAGCAAAAATTTTAGCGTCAGTTGATTGGGTAGCGGCATTCGATCAATTCCTCCTGATGAAAATATTCGGAAAAAATAGATAACAGCCAGACTAAAATCGTTTCTAATAAAGTTTTTGTAAGGATTTTCTTCATATGTCCTCGAGGATATAAATAACATAAACGAATAAAATACTAGCATTAGAAAGTAAGCTAACCACAAATTAAATTGTAATGCCTGGAACATGAAAGTAGAACTAGGGAGAAGTTCCGATCTTGGTACCAAAAATCTTCTACAAACTTCTGTGTATTGAACAGATTTTGCAATTTCGTATCTAAACGAAGTAAGTTGCCACTGGGCGCATAATGAAATATCATTTTCATTGTTTACCACTTTTTCTCTAGCTGTACTAAATAAAAATTCTGGTGAATCTTCTTCCTGTGTTAAAAAATCATAATGTTTGGGCCAATTCCTTGTAATCTCATTCAGAATCCTGATGTCGACCCCATCATAGGTTTTTGTGGTTTCATTAAATATGACGTACGGTGGACAATGGAATAGTGAAATTGAAAAGTTTTGATTCAGCGCGTTCAAAACGTGCCCTGGAAACCAAAGACGGGATTTGAGGTACTTCTGTTTGAGGGTGTAGCCCTTATTAATTATTTGGTTATGATAAACAGATCTAATTTCAAAACAGATATTTGCCATGATAAGGTATTTTGAAGGATATTTTCGATTGACAGTAATTATCAATAAATCTATGTCATGCAACCTTGTACTTCGGATTATTTCAATCTTATTAAAATAGAGTTTTTGATCTGTGAATAGGAGAACCCGTTTGTGGGGCTGGAAAAAAATGTTTATGTTTTTATGGGAAAATATGTTCGTTCCCATAGTTTCATTCTGAATTAATAAAATATAACCACCGCAAGATACTCGTCTTAATATCGTATTTTCCATACTAACCGACATAATTTGCCAATTTTTTATAGCTTCAGAAATTAGATTTGGATAATTCTGAGGTTCTCCAACAATACATAGTAGATCTGATTTTTTAAAACTAAATTTTATGAGATGACGCAACAACTTAGATTCATTATTATCTGCAGTGACATGGGTGCATACAGCAATTGCAATTAGCAAAAACAATCGATATAGCTGCACAAATAAGAGCATCCCGTCTGATAACAAGTTGATGCTACCCGAAGTAATAACATATTGACTATCACACCACACAAGTGTTTACCAAAACAGGTTAATGTGTTTTTGGAAGATACTTTCAGTACATATTTTTGTTTCAACAAACCATGAAATATGGACTGTGATGATATAATTAGATATTTAGACCACTAATATATTTATTACGGTTTCTAAAATATGTTTTTCCAACTACTTCTAAAAGTATGTTTATGTTGATATAGTAAGTCAAAAATTAATCATTTTTGTTGATTCTATTTGGACAAGTGTCAGCAGTGGTCATAAACACAGAAAATAAAAAGAACACGTAGTGTACAATCCTTTAAGACAGCCAAAGATGCCTATAAAACTAAATAGTCGGGAACAGTAAAAACACTGATCAAACTATTTGCCTAAGATCGAGGAATTTGCTAGTAGGCATTTTTCAAATCTACTGAGGTAGATAACTAAGGAGTAAATACCGACCTGACGTAGTACTTTCCTTAGTGGAAAAACCTCAGAAAAAAATTGGTCGAAACTTATTTTGACACAACTTCCTTAGCTTCTGAAGTACAGTCCGATAAATACTGCTTCTCTGAAAAATTATAAAATTTGATTTTGCGGAATTTTACTTTTTCGTGATAACCTCTATGGAGTAAAAACAATAAAAAAAGGTACTAGTCCCATTGTAATAGGAAAAAAGGTTTCACCTTCTTAAAAACAAGTCAGTTGGGAGCCCCGAGAAGGCTTCATATTCTTGAAAAAAATACATTTGTGGCCCCCGAGAAGGTTTCGCATTCTTAAAAAAAAAAAAAATTGGCGCCCTTGAAAAGGTTTTACATTTTTAAACATGACAGTTGGGACCCCCGAGAAGGTTTCAGATTCTTAAAAAAACATTTGGAACCCACGAGAAGGTTTCACATTCTTAAAACAAAAAAAAAAAAAACATTTGGCGCCCCCAGGAAAGTTTTACATTTTTAAAAATGACAGTTGGGACCCCAGAGAAGATTTCACGTTCTTAAAAAAATATATTTGGCGCCCCCGAGAAGGTTTTACATTTATAAAAATGACAGTTGGCGCCTCTGAGAAGGTTTTACATTTTTAAAAATGACAGTTGGTGCCCCTAAGAAGGTTTTACGTTTTTAAAAATGATAGTTGGGACCCCCGAGATGGTTTCACATTCTTAAAAAAAAACATTTGGGACCCACGAGAAGGTTTCACATTCTTAAAAAAACATTTGGCGCCCCTGAGAAGGTTTTACATTTTTAAAGATGATAGTTGGCACTCCCGAGAAGGTTTTACATTTTTAAAAATTACATTTGGGAACCCCGAGACGGTCATAAACATAAATAATACACAATGCGAGAGAAAAAGAAAAAAAACAAAAACGAAAAAACCTAAAGGCCAAGTTTGGAATCGAACGCTCTACGTCTGGTCTACATTCCTGACTCGTAACCACTAGAACATGACCGGGACGGTATGAATAATCGGTATTATTCCATTATGGCATATTTTTGCAAAAGTTTGGACGGTTAGGGAAAAACTCAAAGCGAATTCCTAAACCACACTTTTAGGACTATATTGTTGTGCAACAGTTAAACCAAATAAATATAGAATTCTTTAAAATGACCTCATTAAATTATTGTTGGGGATGATTAGCAAAATTTTGATTAGCATTTAACTATCTACATGATATTTAGAAAATTTGACAACAATCGGTCCAGCAGTTACCGAGATTATGTGTCTAATAAAAATGGATACAGACACCAGACAGACAGACAGACAGACATACATATGTTCCGCTAGGTTTTAGATAAATGTGGATGTAATCAAAGCCGATCGTTATAATTTATTTTTTCAAAAAATAACTTTTAAAAGAAAAATAGTTCCAAGCTAACTTTTTCACAGAAAAAAAAACTTTTTGTAAAAAATTTGTTCCAAGCAAACTTAATGATAACAGGAAAACAACAAACACAACGTTTTAAAATCTGGTGTATCATAATTTTGTAGATTGATGGTGGAATGCATAAGGGGTACTTCGTTTTAGAGTAAGTTTTTGAAGGTAATCAGATGTTAGCCAATTTTTGACATTCATCTTTTAGGATCACAGGTCTTGACGGCCAGAAAGAATAATGGGAAAACATTTTCTGGGTTTGGACAGTGTCAGTTTTGAAAGAGTTTGGAAATTCCACCCACTTTCTAGCAGATATTGTGGCGGACCCGAAATTCTATCTCTAAAATAACCCATTACAGTGTAAAGTTTTTTCTAGCTATTTTATTTTTTGTAGGGAAATAAATTTCAGAGTTTCGGTAATAATTACGGTTTTAATATGAAGCCATAGCAAAAACATAGTATGTAACATGGTAGAAGAAGACATGGTATAGGCATACGCATCTGGTGTGACGTCAAGTGGGGTGAAATTAGCGCGAAATTTAAAATACAATTCGTTATCCGACAACTAATTGACGTATTGGACAGAGCAATGACAACTCAAGCTGAAATTCCCTAGACTTCCCTAGCGAAGCTCACAAGAGTCACAAGGTCGTTGATGCCACCTAACGTCACAAATGGATGCGCAGACCATTTTTAAATTGGTACATCGGATGCCTATACCATGTCTCCTTCTACCATGGTATGTAACACATTTATAAGTTCCCTTTAACTACCTTGAGCTATATTGTTTTTAACACTAAAAATATCTATTTGAGTTAGGCTTATGCTGATTATTACTGATAATTAATAAAATTTTTGCAGCATAAACAAAACTTTTGCAATTATGTTCTGATTAGTATACATGAGAGTTCATTAGTTCTGGTTTTAGGTCATATCTTCTTGCATTGGTACCTGGAGTGCCTTAATCCCTCGCCTTAGCTCCGGTCTAAACTAATAAGAGCAGCATTAATTTTAGCTGTCCCTTTTAAGTTACAAGTTTAAAATCCATCAAATAGATACATACATGAAACTAAATAGCACAGAAGGCAGACGTGTAGTAAGTAAAAAAGTATTATCTACAACATAAGGAAATGTTGTGTGATAAAATATTTTAAAATCAACTGATATGTTTTATTTTAACAAATATACATTCTAAGCAGAATAAAATTGTTGCGATTACATGTCCGATTATTAAAATGTAAAAAATTCCCTGA